TAGGATCATGCCAAGCGCTAGCACACTTCACAGATCCACAGCAATATGCACCTTTTTAGAGTACTACAGAAGTGTTTAAACTTTAAGTATAAACTATTCAACATGAACAGTAAAGCTTTGAATTTGGAGGTCAAACTGATATACATCACTCAAGCATATAAAGACAGTTGTTGGTGGTCTATGTTCTACTCAGACACTAGTCTCGTTGGAGGTAGATGTGATATTGTAACAAAAAAACATCTGGGGATAACCATGAGGAATTTTAGGCTAAATGTGAGTGGAAACAAACTGAACGTAAACTTCATAAACCAATCCAATATCTTGTGAAAGCAGAGCTCAAAGCAGGGGGCAATGGTGCATTCATCAACACTGTCCAATGAACAACCCTTTCATTAGCACACAGATACAATGTCTGTTAGCTGGCTAAAAAGCCCCCCCAAAAAAAATTCCAAATAAGCATGTAAATATGTGTAGCGTGTGGGGAGAATATATTACATCTGGTAAAATAAAGCATTATCTCTTAAAAAAAAAAGCAGATCAATTAGCTAACAACAGCATTTCGTTAGCTAGCGTGTTTTGCTTTTGTTTTTGATTGTCCTCTGGACAGAATGCATGGATTAGTGGAATTTGGGAGCAGGTTTTAGCAGGGGAGGACCCTTGCAAGTAAAAGATTTTACCATAAAAGCACCAAAGGTTTATCAAGTTGTGCCCAGATGTCTATTCTCGTCACTTCTGGCCCAGCGAGACTACTCAGAATTCTAACATTGCTATCAGAGTTATAAGAGTCTGATTTTCATGTCAACTGCCATCTATTTAATTTTGGTAATGATTTGGAAATGTAATGGCTGACAATAACAAATAATACAATATATGCAAATGGTCCATCTACCTTGCAGAAGCTCTTAAGTGACATCCATGATTATACCATAATATTGGTGAATATGCTAAATAAGACAATGACGATATCCATCCTGGTAATCAGTCAGGATATGAGAAACACACCGATGACATCACTTTTCCTGTATAATGTGTCATAGCTACTTCTTCCTCTTCATTCCTTTGGCTGGTACACATATGAGCTAAAAGATTAATCCCTCTTGATATGATGAAGGCTCTAAGATGGAGGTCTTCCATGCCACAGCAGGGGTCAAAGCTGAAAAAAAATTGAGGGGATAAGTCCCTCTTTAAGTCTTCTCTGCTCTCTGTTTAAAGACTGGGTCAGAACACATAACACTCTCAAAAGCACTTTTGAATGAAGTTTTAAAGATGAGCATATGTCAGCAGACATGCATGCAGAATTCCCATGAGAACACGCTATGCCAGAATATTAATCAAACAAAGAACCCTCAATTAAATACACTTTCAACAAGAGGCTGAGTCTAATCAAGAAAATGGACAAAATGAGCCACAATTAAGACAAAACTACTAAGGAAACTACTCTCAGTCTATAGCATGACATAAGCATTCCAACATTTATCTAATATAAAAAAGTACTTTGTATGTGATAACTAAAGGCCAATTAGTATTCAACAAACTTTGTCTAAACTTCAAAATGCTACTTTTACAGGAGAGAGTAAAAATGTTCTGAACTTTTAATGGAAGTTTTTTTTTTTTACAAGCAATCTTGGCCCATTTCTATCAGTCCATTCATCATGAAATTTTCACACAGTATATTTCACACACATATATTTCAGTATGTATAATCCAGCATTGTTGGTGGCTGAAGGCTTCTGTTGTTGCAGGAACCAAAACAGGCTTTCTAGCATTATTTTTCACACCCTCCATTAGCCAAGTTATCAGCAATGGCTGGTCCAGAAGCAAGAGAATGGACACAATCAGCCAAGATTGGAATCGGCACATTTCTACTTTAAATATTCGATAAACAATGGGCCAATTTGTTGTTATTATTTTATGGTATGAAATATGTGAGCCACGTAAGTGAACTCGAGACGTACTGTGAATGCTGCTGCTACACCTCAGTGTGCTAAATAGACAGCAGCCTCTTACTGTCAATGTGATGCTTATTTGATTTGTGTTATTTAAATAGGCAACTAATTTTTCGGTTGTGAATTTAAAATGCCAGTTTGGCCTGTTAGAGAGCCAATAATGCTAGTTATATTGTGACTTTGACTAATAGAAAGTACTGGAAATGTGCTAGTGTGTTTCATGTATTCATTTAGCTTACACAGCGTAAATTTGGTAAATTTCAGACTTAAAAATTCATGATCAGTGCATTATTATTTTCTCCAGTTGTTTTAAACTTTCAGCTGTCAATGTCAATGTCCTGTCTCATTTCATATGCATGCTTCTGACCTCTTGCATGTTTATCAATGAAGAACTGAGTCTGCCATGTGTGTGACCGCATGCTGTATTTATACTCCAGTAAAATAAAAAGTCATGACACTAGCCTGAAGACTAAAATAATGGGATAATATTCCTATTAAATTTTGTAGACGAACATTCAAGTAACAACAATCACAATGTGTTTTTATTAAATATGTATTTCTTATAGGTATGATTTTCTATGTACATGTAATCTATGTCCATGTGTGTCTTTGCTAACATTATAACAGATGTTATAGGTAGTCGGCTCTAACATTCACACATATAAAGTGCAGGATGCATTTATCAACACTCACAGAAGTATAAGACTTAGTCATGCCTACATATTTTACCTTCATGAATTTAAGATGATGTCACTATTAATTTCAGATTTGTCATATCCTGAGTCATATCCTGTTAGCTAATTATCAAAACCCAATGAAAAGAGTAAACTGCTAACATTATTCTTTTAAGACTAGTGTCAAAACCACACACAATATTGTGTCTATTGCTTCTATACAGCCAGTGAAGGTTTTTTGCAGGGGTGGGACTCTCATCTATGTGTCAATGTAAAAAAACAGCTTGTAAATGCGTACAGGGATATAACACTGAGAATAAAAGAGAGTCCAAAAGGGGCTTACGGCAGAAGAATTTATAGAGAAGAGAAAACAGCAAATAGCATGTACATGCATATATGCATCCACACTAATGAGAGCTAGCAGGCAATAAACTGTCGCCCTACAGAGAGCGGGGGGCAGATGCTAGTTCACAGTTCCACAGCTCCATGGCTGCTCTCTCTGAGCATCTCCTCTCACAGCTCCACCAACTGCCTCTTCTTACGTAACCCCCTCCCCCTCCAGCATGCTCGTCTTTATTGGCTTATTTCTCTCTTTCTCGACATTAGGATTTTCACCTTTATCACAGTCACTTTCCCATGCTAGATTTGATTCTCAGTTCTCTCTGATTGTGTCTTTTATGATGGATGCTTTTGTCATTTCTAATGCTGTCCTTTTATGCCTACTGTAATTCATTTAGATTTACGATGGACGGCTTTTGTAAATAAAGCACATCAACGTGGCCTTCAAAGATAAATGAAGCCTCCTTTGGAATCTTGACAGACAAGATGGAGTCATGAACGGAGTGGAGGTTTCCTGTCGAATGAGGCACTTTAATACTGCCATTGCCTTATATCCTCTATTTGAACATGTTTTCCCTCATTAATCATCAGTGTGCACTCAAAAACTGCCAACCAAGCCATTACATAAGTAAAACTACTTGGTATATGTTCATAGCACTGGAGGAGGCATTTAAAATGACACATTTGACAAATGAGCAGAGTATGTACGAAAGTGCATAAGGTAAAATCAGTAAAGCCTGTCACGCACAGCCTAGAATAAATAGACATATAATTTCACTGCTGTTTAGAACAAACAGGCAGTTGATAGATGAAGCCTCTGCCATCCTGACAAGCAAATGGCTTTCTGCTTGTGCTTTTCCTCCCTGTGCTTGGTGGAATCTCTTCTGCAGCCACTGATACCTCACCCTCCATTTTAGTGCTATGCTCCTGGTCTCTGTTCTCTCACCTTCTTTCTCCCTCACTCATGAACGTACAGATAAATGCACCCCCTCCCAGCCAGATCCTGCTTCTCTAGATACGGCATGCAAGCACAGGTTCATATGCACTGCACATCCATGCAGGCTGTTGCTCACATAAGGGGTTGTATCTTCCATTTCACACACTGAGAGCGACCCTTCCCCCACCCCTCCTCACTCACACGCACACGCGCACACCTTACTTAATTACAGTTTGTATTCGTAGGTTCTGTCTGATATGCTCTGCCAGAAAACAGGCAAAACAAAAAAGACCAATCTAATTAAAACGGCACATGGACAAATGTAAATGACCAAGAAGAACTGCATTATTTTTATGCAACATTTAACACATCAGGATTTTTCCTTTGTAGTATTTCATCTCATCTTTGCTAAGTGATGTAAGTCTGTAAATATCAAAAACATTAAAAAATGACCGGAACTTCTATAAGAGCAGCTATTTAGAGAGGTTGTTTAAGAAAAGCTCTGTTCAGTCACTCCCTTCTTCTACTTTCCCCAAAGAAAAGATATCCAACAAGAAACTGTTCTTTCCTTAGTTCTGAACATGTCTTTATAATAAGCATAAAAATGTCCAGGTCCGTTTTGCTGCAAATGAACATATAAATATAATACTTAGGAGCAATGTAACCAGGCATTCTATGCCCACTCAAAGTGTTCTCCAGTGTTAATATCCCTCATTTGGTTATGAAATACAGTCAAACTATACAGTCACTGCTGCTCACAAATCCCTGTAAGATATATGATTTGTACCTATGGTTTGAGGAAGATACAATATTATGGTTGCACTATGAAGACATGGAGATTTAGCATTCTATACACAGCCATCTTAGACAATAAATCTTCAATGAAATTACAGTAAGATTACTGCACAACAAGAAAACACTGAATCAAATAAGCAATCCTGCAAGAAGCCCTTATGCAGAGGGACCTCCATTATAGGCTTTGAACAGAAGGATCAGCTCCACCGAACGTGTTCACGCTTGTGTCAGCTCCAACCTAGCAACCACATACAACCATATACGGCCTCAGTGGCATGAGCAGTTATCAAACACGGAAAACGCGTTTACCTGGTCATACCAGTCCCGATTGGAGCAGGTGCATTCCGGCCACCATCCTCCTTGCCCTCCCGAGTTGTTTCCGTTCACCTTGGGACCACCCTTGGATTGGCTCTTGGGATTGGGGCCTCCAGGACCCCCGGCGGACATCATTTTTCCTTTACTTCTCCCCAGCGTGCCCCCTCCGCCCATTCCCGCTCCTCCACCTGAGGTCTGTGGCGGTAAGGTCTGACCGCCTCCGTAGCCAGCCGGATATCCGTAGGGTTCCGGCTGCCAGTCTCCGTACGCCGGGGCATCCATCCTGCGCAGGGCAGCCATGCGGGTCACCTCATAGCATTCTGGGCACTTACAGCAGTGGTGGTGTTTGTGCATGCTGGCTGGCTCACACGGCGTGGCGCTCTCTCACGCTGCTGCTGTTGTTGCTGCTGCTGCCTGCTCAGATCAAACACAGCACACGCCGCTGCTCGGCTCAGGGAACAGCAAGGCTAGTGGTAAAAAAACCGCACGAATCGCAGCAACGTCGCCGACTTTCGCAAGCCCTGTTACCCCCTCTTTGTTCCTCCCAATCCAGAAAAAGCAGATGAAGAGGCAGCAAGCAGGAAAGGGGTAATACAAAAAGGACTGTAGTCTTCCTCCGTTCGATGAAAAAGATCTGGGAAAATATCGCTGAAAATACTGTATATGATCTCACAATCAGAGACCAGCCCCGATGACAGAATATTCTTCTTGCCGTTCTTGGTTCACAGTGATATGTATATAAATTCATAGATATATATATTCATTTGTTTATATATGTATATATTTACACACACACAAATACATATAAAAATATGAATATAAACAGACAAGCACAAATACACAGTTATGTACAGGTATATTATGTATATTTATATATATATATATATAAATAACTATATGCGTGTGTACAAATATATATATAAACAATTTGTATATATATAAATGATATCCGTGATTCTTCCTCTGGATTTCTCTTCTTTTTTACCAGCTAGATTTCCTCCTTTTCTTCCTCCTGCAATGGGTAGCGATTTTCTTTCGTTCTCTCTCTCTTCTCAGCCTGCAGAGAGGAGCTGAGCACTGAATTGCCTCTCAGCCCGCTTGCCCTAGATGTGGATTATACAGAGGGACGTGAGCAAGCGAGAGGGGGAGAGAGAAAGAGAGAGAGAGAGAGAGAGAGAGAGAGAGAGAGAGAGAGAGAGCAAGGCAGAGAAGGGGAGAGGGAGATGCATAGCAGCATCCCTCCAGCACCTCAGCTCTGACAGCCACAGCCAATCAACTTGCAGCACAGCCATCAGCAGCAGCACCAACAGGACTCTCAGTGCATCAGTGACTGCTCTTAAAGGGGCAGTGCACCATAAAATCAGCATGAGCACAGAAACGGCATGATGATCCAGAAATTCCAATGCTCATCTGATGCTGGTTCAACGTAAGAAAGACTCTAAGCCAGTCTTACCAAACACATAAGAGCTGTGTTAATTTTGTGACGTATAAAAAGAGCCTGTAGGTATATTTACATTACAGACTAGTGCTTTCTGATATATTGTCTACACAGACACACCATGATACCACCCACTGTGGTACTTTTGAATGTTAGCAACATTTTTAGCAATATATTTGATACAAAATGAGCAGAATATGCAGGATATAATCCCCACAAAACAGCGGTATTCCTGTTGCCAAGCAGTTTGTTTATAGGTTTTTAGGTGATTAACTTTTATGTGACACACTTTACTCATGGTAAGGTTTCCTTTGGTGCAGTTTTAGGAGAAGAAAACAAAGAGAAGAAGAAATATGGGTTCGTTAACTTCACTGATCCAAACTTAAACGGGAATGATGTATACAAAGTCATTCAGAGTAGTCTGATATGAAATCCGTATTAAAGAAACTTGCGAAGTCAGAATTATTCACAATAGTATTGATATGAGCAGACATCTGAAGTGTAATACCTCAAATATATGAAATGGTTACGAATGTGCTGCCTGATGCCTGAGACACTGATTCACAATGATTCTGATACAAGGTTTTGACCAAAAAAGTATTTTTTTTAAATCCATTCATAGTGGTGAGGTGGGGTGTTCCTAGGCAAAACACTCCAAAAAGAAAACATATTTTTTCACACTTGCAAATATTTTACCATTATCAACATTATCTACCAAACCAGTTCAAAGTCAGACTTGAAAACACATTTTGGACTTTTAACTGTCCTGAACTTTAGACTAAAAACTTATACCTTAATTGGGTTTATTTTAATTAAAACAACAACTGAAATGACTAAGTTAAATGACTGACTGCACACTTTAAATAGCTGTACACACATAAAATCACAACATTTTTTATTAAAACACAAAACGTTTACATAATGGAAGAAAATCTGTGTTTCAGTAGTGACATAACACCAACATTTTTAAAAACAATATTAAAAAAATGCAAAAAAAATGTGAGTATTATTTTCGCTGGTTTAAATTTAGGGGTTAGGCTTTGGGACAGCCACCTCCCTAAATAAATCATAACATAATTTGTTAAATTAAGGTTCTGAACATTGTTTATTTAAACAGTTTTTTTACTGAGGGACTGCAAATTGATTTAATTCTGTAGAATGGTTCATATATAAATACTCAGAAGACACATGTAGGTTCACTATTGGTTTTGGATAGTAATTAAAATGGATATATTTGTGTTGTAACCATTGTGACCTTTGGTTCCTATCACCACTACTGTAAGGAAATCTGTTGATAAGTTGCTCTACAATGCACCGTTTCAAATGAATCCAATCTGACTTTGTTTACATCTCAACACCTGAATTACGCAGAAATTTTGAAAAATCAGTGGAATTCCCCTTTAAATGCCATTTGGTACTGCAATTAAGTTAATAAATATTGTGGTATAGAATTGTATCAAAACCACCCAGCAGTATTTCAGACCAAACAAAAAATTGTTAAATCGTTAAAATATTTCTTTCAAAATATTTCTCATGTCTCAATATGTCCCATTTGTATTTTGTTGCTAGGACAGAACTGCAAATTTCTTTTTTTCATTATGGCTATAAAATGGTAAATCACACAGAGTACATAAACACTTTAAATAAAAAAAAAAGAATAAGATTTAAGATTCTGTATTTTGAACATATAACAATTCCTATACAAACGTTTCATAATCAGTGGGAAACATCAGCCCTGACCACCAAGACAGTGTGACGTTTTCATATGCATGTCCACTTAAGAATAAGAATTACACACTTCTGTCTCAGCGTAGGTGGTGTGAGAGGGGGAAGGAAAGATAGTGAGAATGAAAGGAAAGGCTGGCTGAAAAGTCTGTAGAGAACAAATTGAGTACAGCCTGGAGTGTAGGCAAATCAACTCATTTTAGAAGACATCTCTATCAATAATAACAATGAAATTCAAAACAGAGGACATTGTGGAAAATTTCAGCTGACAGTTTGAGATATTGTTAAGCCTGCTAATATCACAATGCTTAATCTTCACCAGAGCCACTCTTGGATATGCAGAGAAGCTGACAGAAAGAAGTTGTTTGCAATTACAGAACACGTAACAGGTATAAAACAGACCATCTCAACATCCTCAACAGGCTGTAAAAGCTATGCTGCTGACACCATTCTGTGGCTGAACTGGATTAGGTTTTGATTAAGGTTAGGGTTAGGATTAGGGCCAGGGTAAGGGTTAGGATTAGGTTTTGGGTTGACGTTTACAGATATGAATTTGGACACTCCAAATAAGTGAAAAACAGCTGAATTCAGTAGATTATAAACAAATTTTATTTCCATAGTTAATTAAAAGTCTCTTGATAATCTACTGAATGTATCGTAACATATCAACAATACATCTACTTAATGTAAGTAATGTATCAACAATACATCTTCAAGATATTTACCTCAATGTATTCAGATGCTCCACTACTGCTACCTCACTGATTTGTTGTTGATGTGTTACTGATACTCTGTTAAGAGTTTATTAATCATCTACAAAAGACCACTCAAAATAGTATTTCCAAAAAAAGTATTTTAATAGGAAATACATTTGTTCTCTCATCGTGTAAATTAAACCAAATGTCTTCACAGGCCAACTTTGGCCCATGAGCCACACTTTGGGCAACATCAATGCCCATAATTTTAGAAATGTCACTTCTGCACACAAAATGAAAATGTATTTGTACTCATTTGGACATTTACAGGATTTCCCACATATTGTTATTTATATTTATAACTCAGTGACACGACACTAGACATATGTACTAGACTATGGACAAATGTAGCTGGGCATCAAAGCAGCAGTGTACAGCACATCTGGATTAAATAATAGTATAGAATATACTACTGATACAGAATGATCATATAATGCCAAAAATAGTATATTCCACTGGATGCAAATGAATCTTCACAGTGAAAGAATTAAATGATGTGAGCATGAGTGTGTGTGTGTGTGTGTGTGTGTGTGCGTGTGTGTGTGTGTGTGTGTGTGTGTGTGCGCGTGAGCATGTGCATGTGTGTTCCTGCATGAACTGTTTGTGAGTCCTTACACTGACTGCAGGCTGTACCGTTAGAGCTCTACTAGGAGGCACAAACAGCAGGCTCAGCCACACATAATTATATGCACTGGTAACTCCTTTCATTATCACAATATTCTATTCCTGTAACTTGTAGAGACTGTGAAAGCAGAACAGAAAGAGGGGAAACTTTTACATTCGGAGGGAGAGATGAGGGCCAGTCAAGACTCTGAACCGGGGAAGAAGCACACACTAACACTGCCAAAGCCAATCAGAATGTGCGGGTGGTGCTTGGTGGCTGGAAAAGACGGTGCAAGCATATCTACCACATGACTGGACACATGTTGTGGCCATCCTCCTCTTTCCCTTTGCACAAAGCCCTCCTCTCTACAGCAGCTCCCTATACAGTGATGCACAGTTCAACGCTCACCACACAGCGCTGTTTGAATCTCCATGCTTGGAGATGCAGATTAGAGGGGAAGGGAGAGGGGCAGAACATGCTCGTATGCATGCATTACATGTTGGCATTATGTCATGTGTTTGTGTGTGATTCTTCCAGTGTGTGAGCGCATGGGGGCGTTTCTAGTACCTCTAGGGAAAGAATCCTACTCCTTCAAAGATTATATAATATAAAAATATATATAAAAAAAAAAAGATTCTGTATGTCTCTGCAGTCAGAGCCAATCAGTGGCCAAACTGTCTGCATCTGTCATACTAAGGAATGGCAAGAGGGGGAGAGAGAGAGGAAAAGAGGGAAAATATGGTTAGGTTGTTAAGGGGTTGCCAATCCAACCAGAACACCGGAGCACTGCTTAAAGAAAAGCAGTGCCTTGTGCATCTTTGTTACAATTATGGTTATAATATCAAGCTCCATCTGTCTACTTTCTGGAAATGTGCATCCATATATGATGCACTGTTGCAGGCTACTGCATACAGTGTCCATGTGATAAAGCTGACAGATGCATCCTCTCAGGCTGAATTCTAAAAACAAATCTCAATGCCATTAGCACAGCTGGACGGTTCAGTAACATTTACACAGCATCCTACTACTGTATATGTCTCATTATATATTTGCATTTTATAAAGTCAATAACCACATATTTTGATTTTATATGATCCAATCTGCCAATCATTTGAAGACTAGATGTTCTAGGTGTCTAGAAAAAGGTTTCAACTCCTGCAAGTATTAATAATTTTTGGAAAATGAAATAGGTTAGGTCTAACATACTCTTAACATACTGATAAGAAAGGCTTGCTCATAGCATGAACAGGAAGAAATCCACATTGGTTTTAAAGGGGGGCAGAGCCCACCTTACGGCAAATACCTTACATCTGTCAGTCTCACTGTCAGCCCCTGCAAGCCCCCATTACATAAACCCTCCAGCCTGCCTCACGCCCCTTTGCATACGTTCTCACACAGCAAGGCATCTATAGAAAATTTCTGGAATTTCTGTGCATTCTCATATCAGCCCATGCGACTGCTCTCTAATCACCTGACAGGATGCATGCCCATATAAGGCGGGATGAGACACAGGCAGTCTTAAAGGGACAGTAACACTGTTACTAAGCATCCTTTGAATGAAATGCAGAGGCAACGCTGTGTAGAACACAGTGTGCTCTTTGAATCAGCGTAAAGATCTGTCACAGGCCTTGATGCCTTTCATCCTGTAATTTTCATTGGATAGGTCACAGCATGGGGGAATTTCTGTACCAACAATTTCCTTCCTATTGTACGTGGCTCATACGATTCCTGCGTGCTTTCAATTGGCTCTGACAGAGTGAACACTTGCCAGTGTTTCATGGAAAGCTGAAAGCAGGGAAGACGAGGCTACAGACCCAAAGACTGTTGTGGCTCCCACATTACTACACACTCCGAGACACTAAACAAAAGCTCCTATGAAGGATGTGACTCCTATTAATAGGGCTGGTGGTAGAAAACAGCTGCTGCACCAAACACTGCACATCTGAGTGACAGTATAATGATAGAGGTGAGCTACAGAAAAAACACAGAGATAGTGACAGGAGGAAAAGAGAGATGGAGAAAGCAGGAGTATATGAGGTGCATGGAAAGTGAATGGGAGATAAGGGACTAAACTGAAGAAGAGAGGCTGCAATAAGGCATTGCAGAGGCTGAGGGAAAGGAAAGAGAGACTAATGGGAGGAACCAGAGACAAGGGAAGAGATATAGGAGCTAAGTAAATGGAGAATGCTAATCATGAGTGGGAAGAAACAACTGGACTAAAAATGGCTGGAGGAACCATGACTAGAAATCTGTGCTTAGGAACAGATGAGACTTGGACAGGGAAAGATGTTATAGAATCCAAAAAAGAAAGATGAAAATAACTTGCCGCTATGAAATAGCACTTCTATGTAATTGTATTTGCATGTCTGATTGTGACATTCAATTCAATTTCAGTTGAGACTGTTCAATTACTAGCATGTCCATACATTTCATGCTTTTGCCCATGTTATAACGGCGCACACATATGATAGAGTATAAGGTACAGAGATGCAAAAGAGACAGAAAAACAGAGACAGAGGGAGGGAGAGCGAGCAAGGCAGCCTGTCTGTGGGGATGCAAGCAGAGGGAGGAATTTCGTTTCCATGGTAACCTGCAGAAGGCTGAACTCTGGGTGTCCGTTCCAGCTCTGACTGTGTTGCACTGCGCCGGCCCTCGCCTCTCAGCCGGCTCGTTCCCTTCATCCTCCCCCACTCCCTCTTTCTTTTTCTCTCTCTCACTCTCTCTATCTCTCCTTCTTTATTCGTGCCACTCTCTATCCTTCCCCTGCACCACGTATCCCCCGTCCTCCCTCCATGTGTGTGGAGAGACACAGCGCTCTGTTCGGCTCAGCAGCACACAGCCTTACTGTCAACAGGATGTTCTTGCCTTGCACTCTACTATATGGTTTAATGCGGAGAAATGACACTTGACACGTCTTTAAAACCCACTGAGCCTACATTCCTAAGCCACAAATCGAGACCCCCGCAACCACCTCCTCCTCTTTTCCTCCTCCCCCTCACGCCCCCACCCCTCGAACTAGTTCTCCACTCAGCTGAAAAGCCAGCGCCTGCAGGCATTGTGCTGCCATGTGCCGCTGGGCGTGTTGTGATTGGGAAGGCATGTGAAAATGAGGGCTGCCATGATACAGTGGAGCTCAGTATGCCTTTGGAGCCATGATGCCTTTGGACCACTCTAAGAAATAACGTGACATCATGATTAGTGCCACTTTTCTGTTTTTTTTTTGGCAAGACAGGGGGCTTATTGATTCAGCTGTAATGTGGCTTAGGTAGGATCCACAGTCTTAAATGCATGATTACAGCACCTGCAATCATGTTAATGTGTTAGATTCAGACAAATAACCATAAGATATGACAGTATTACAATACAATCATGCAGACTGTTCCCGAATACCAGGATTTAGGCATCTTATGAACCAAATTAGCCACTTGTGAACCCAAACCTTTGTGATTTATTTGGCACTATACAGCACCATGTGAAAGTCAGAAACTATCCTTCATTTATTTAATGTCTACTTAAAACAGCCAATTTTTAATTTTTCAGGAGATATTTCTGAAGGGATTACAGAAGATAATCCACTTGCATAACAAAGGGGAACGTCAACAGAAAATAAGTGAAAAACAGGAGTTTCCTAAACTGGAATTCAAAAAATGCTTAAAAGAGAAAATAGGACCTCTAACAACCGTGCAAGACCTGCTAGACCATCAAAACTGTCACTGTCAGGCAAACAGTACATAAAGCTTTCATCTATGAGAGGCAAGAGGACATAAATCTCCACACTTGCTCGTGGTCTAAAAGGATGTGTAGCTGTCAAGAACACATTACTAAGAAAGGCAAACAGACAGAAAAGAAGAAACTGCAACTGCAAATCAAACAAAGAAGCTGCTGGCGTTCTCGCAACAACGGACTGGCCACCCCAGAGCCCAGACCTCAATGTCATTGAATGTGTTTGGGATTACTTGGATTGTGAAAAGCAGAAAAAGCAACCAACTTCTAAGACTGAACTTTGGAGATACGAAAAAATATCTCTGCAGATTTCTTTGAAAAACTGAAAGCAAGTCTAACGAAAAATGATAGATGGTTTTCCATCACTCAAGGGAATGCAATTCCACTGCACTACAGTGCTGGGGAGTTTTCTATCCCTCTTGCTAACACTTGGCATTAGGCATGGTGACCTTAGATTCATGTGCGGGTGCTCCCAAGTGTCCCACTCAATTGGTAATGCTTTTCTATGGAGGGTACACAAGCTGTTTTTGTGCAATTAACTGCATGTGAAAGCAATGAAAGAACCTTAAAGTAGACGAATTAACTAATCACAAGGGGCGTCTGGACGTCTGGAGACTCTTATTTTCATCAACAATGAAACAGTTAAATGAATGCTTGAAGCCTCAAATCAGCAAGCATGTAGTTGCGGAAAACTGGTAAATACTGCTAGTCAATTTGTTAACATTGTTTATGATGTAACAGCCCAATATCTTAACCAGCAACAGCAATGTCTGTATTCATAAGTATTCTTAATTCAGCATTACATGTATGGACAAAGAAAAGGAGCCGCCTTATTAAGCAACTCATAACTCAACTCAAAAAATGGCATCTTCAAAACAACTCACATTTCACACAAATTTGAAACCCTCATATACATTCATTCATAGACAAGCACTGTGTTTGTTTTAAGCAATAGCCCTTATTAACAAACTGAAACTGCCAGATCTTACATTCTTAATAGCTCTAGCAATTCTAAACTGGACAAAACTGTGTTGTACTCAAATCTTAATGTAACTCCTAAACAGTCATCACCATTTAATCTCCAGTTTCCCACTAACCTTGGGTGCCTCTACATGGGAGTGACTCACAAGCCCGGCCACTCTCTCCACCTTCTGTGGGCTCCTCCTGCTGGTCACTCGCACTCGTGACACACCCTCCACTTCCGAGCTCTGCTACACAATTTATGAAAGAGAACATCAGACAGCAGCAAATTCAAAGATTAAATTTGAGTAACTAATTTTTATGTGAATCACTCCAAAACATAAATGTCAAAATATGCCTGATTATTTGCAATAGATCAGTATTACATTACCTTACAGAAAGCAAGTTTAATCATATGCATCTGGAAACACTATAATCCAATTTTATGATATTACAGTACAGAGACAGTGATAGCTATGCCGTGTTTATATGTATATTAATTACCTCACAGCCATTTGTGTTTTTTCCTCTGTTTTTCAGTTGTTTACATTCTAGCATCAGATTAACAGTCACAACGGCAGAGCGAACAACAGCTCCTAGGCTTTCTCTGGAATATTCCAGTGCACGCACAAAAAAGCATTTGTTGTGCAAAGAGACAATACTGCAAAAAAGGCAAACACTGCATGGCTGGTAACCTGAACTGGAAACCTCAGTGTATCAGACTGACAGCACATGACAAAGCAATAGCATTACAAGAGAAAAGAAAACAAGTACAACATAAACAAACAGGAAAAACGGAAAAAACAAAAACGCTGAGCATTACAAAATCCAACTAAATACACTCAAGCAGCAGAGGCAAGTTGCAAAGCACTGCAAATCAGATCAATGGATCTAAAGTCACAGGACAGGTACAGTAATGGCTAGGTGAAATAATGACATTATTCATTATGATATGAAACTAATAATGCCACAAATTGTAAATAAAGCAATATCATGAGTGAAGAGTGAACAATGTACCTTCTTAATTGTTAAGACTTTGCATCACAGTTATTTACTGATCTCCCACAACCTTGTTGTCTGGAACTGTTTTCTAGATAAACCTAGCATCATTTAGCTTGTGGTAAACATGTAGATTAAATGCAACTTGTATATAAGTAAATTAATTTTTATATATGTCAACTGTTACACTTAAAGAAATGTAAAGAAATTCAGTAAAAGATCAAATTTACACAACTTTCCTCTTACCCCACAGTCAATCAGCCAAGACATGTTCGTTGTCTGAAATTTGTTTACTAGTTTTGCACTGTAGCAACAAGGCATAAAGTAGCTAACATGTAATGGAAGTCAATGACATGCAAAGTCTTTTAGTCTGACATAGACTTCTATTATATTAGCCTTTTAGCTTTACTGCAAAGCTAAAGAACCAAACTTCAGACACCAAATATGTCTTTGGTGGATCGGCTACTTTTGGAGGATAAGTGAAACGATTGTTTAAATGTGAGTTTTTTTAAGAAACCATTTCTTTAAGATTCTGTATAAGCAGAGTCTTAGAAAGTATTTCAGTATTTGTTAAGGACTTAGTCACCAACTTATAGATTGTTCTCTAATTGTGCCAACTGTTTGCCAAAACCCATCCCACATAGAAAATCAACAGGCAGCAGAGGACAACCTTTGGAATAAGTCACAACAGCGAGGTTAATTATTAATATCTTATTACTAAATGTTACAAAAGCATCATGTTTGCACGTAATATCACGCAACTAAAACTGATCACTAAAGTGAAACTGAAAGCAGCAGTTAAATTAACTAGCTATAGAAGCAAATATCCCAATCTGAATTCTTAAGAATAACAGACTACATTATTACTACTGCAGACTAAAAATAACAACAATATGAAGCTTTATTTATTAAGCACATTCCACAGATTTACAAGGTGTCTCATAAGGTTTCTCAGTGTAAAGTAGTTAAAGAAAAAAGCAACAAATGGCAGTCAAAAAATATTCAAATAATAAAAATGCAGTGACAGGAAAATAACAAGAAATAATAACAATTATCAGCATGTTAAAAAAATAGAATAAAACATTTAAAATGTCATAACATAATATAAAAATAACATACCAGTAAAACTAAGGAAAATAATAAAAGCTACTTAAATGCTAAACGAATAAATATGTTTTTAGCTATTCTTTTAAAATAAGTGATATATGGAGACTGGTGAATGTTTATTGGTAGCATGTTTCAGACCTTCAGTGCATAAAAACAAAAGGCTCCCTCTCTTTTAAGCTTTATACATGGAACATGAAGAATGCTAGCACTGGATGATCATTCATCAGATCTAGCTGACAACTGTCTGCGTGTGGTGCTAATGTGTGGATGGATGAACAAGCAAACAAACAAATGGATGGATAGAAGACAGGCAGACAGATGAGCTAGCTTAAAAAATTAAGTAACATTTGCTATGTTAGCTTTTGTTGATGGTTAGTTTCCTCTTTGTTAGTTTCTCCATCTCAAAGAGAAAGAGACTGTAGGGGAACACAGATGTGTTAATGTGAAAACTGTTTGGGCAGGACAAGCCACACAATTGGTGAGGGTATCAATTACGTAAGAGGACTGCCCAGTACACACTGAAAGAGATTTATTGGGTATTGAAAAGTTATTCACAGGGCTACTTTGTACATGTATATTGTGTGTCTGCAGGAGCAACATTAACCTAGGCTTAACATTTATAATTATCTAAAAACTCAAGTCATCCTTATTCCAAAACCTTAATGACTGATCTGTGCTTTAGTCAATCACAAAAGCTGCTGATAGCTGTTTCTTCTCTGTAGCCTCTGCACAGGATCAGTGAATTTGCAGACTCATTTCATTTAACTCCTCTCCTCCGCTCAGGTGACAATGTGTTGTGAATGCTAATGAGAACTGCACTGGACATTCTCTCAGCTCCAGCCCTCCCTTCACTGCCAGCTGCCTCTCACCCAACACCCGGCTGCTCCCCAGGGCAGAGCTTTGCATTTCCATACAGTCATCATGGCCTGTGCTGGGCCTGGAACATTCGCCACCACAGATAACACAGTGAGTCAGTGACCCCTGCAGTATTTCGATGGAAGAAAGGCTCTTGTCACACAGCAATGATGCATCTGGAAGCAAGCAAGCAAGGACCTGCAGGAAAACCTGCATAGTTGTTAGAGTATGTCTAAGACAAAATAGTCCGTAAACTTTTAAATCTTGCCAAACTTGCCAGATTAGATCCTTACTAAAGTATTACAAAAATATTATTTAAAAAAATGCAGCATAATTAGTCTTGATCATAGCTGGATCACATTTTCCAGGCTTTATTATAATATAACACAATCAGCTGTAACCTATTGTAGTTAAATAAATTTTCTAATAACAATTACTAACTTAATTAATATTGTAGCGTCCCACTACCCAGGGCTGGCTGGGTAAGTTTAGTGGTCAACGGGACCTACCCTGCTTCACGGCTGTTTGGCAGCGCTGCGTGACAGGCTTCTCATGCTGCTGTGTTAATAAAACTGCACTTGTTCGAAGCACTGTCTTCTTTTTCTGCGCCTACACCAAAATATGATTCACTACAATATATAAAATTTGTATAAAACCATTTAGGCCTACTATTTGTCTGCATTTTAATAAACTACAGAACATTGTCTAGAATATACTTACAATTGCATTGGCTTCCACAATACATTTTTAATCACTAATAATTATATCAGTCTTCACAATACTTGCTTAAGTGTGCATGATGCAAATGAGCCTCTAACCAGTCACTGAATGATTTACTGTGTGCTGTGCACATTCTGATCAATCACAGATGTTCTTAGGATGTATTGATGAATCAATGCATTTACATGTATACTGCATTTAGTATAATGTAAGGTATATCAGAATCACAATATGCGGCTCCAATATGGTGTTCTGTCCATATCACGCAACCCATATTAATTCTGTCAAAACTATCAGAAATTATCTAGTTTATTAAAAGTAAATAGAAATTTTACCTCAAAACATTTCAAAATTTCCATGTTTTCCCTCAAATGGTAAAGTGAACAGTGTTTGAAATTTAATACAGATTGTGCACTGTATTATATTATTTAGATCTATACAACAGTTATTTCTGGCAACGCAAGCTGATTGGTTGAGAAGCATTCTAATCGTGCTGTTATTTCACCATAACATCACAGGTTTTTCCACAAACACTTGATCACTCGCTGAAACGCTGTCGCTAAGCAACAACTTTGACAGCTGTAGGAGACGCTCAAGCCATTTGAACGTTTTTACTTCTTACTTTGCGCTCAAACAGAAATTGGATACTTTTAAGATTACATTTGACCTACAGCTGATTTGGTCAGACTGTGAAGATAAGACTACACTAAATTCCCAGACTGTCAGTTGGTCTGTTTAAGGAGCTGGAGAATGAACTGCTGGCTGTGCAGTGAGTGAGCAGAGCTCGTTACTCTGACGTAGCTGCTTATTAAGGAACTATAATTTGGCGGAAGGAACTGCTACCATTAAAACATATTAAATGCCACATTCACAGCCCAGTTTATTTATTTCTTACTTTATTTATTGAACTGTTGTATAAAAGCAATAGAACACTCGTGGTTGTGTTCAAATAACAGCCGTTATGTTATTTCGTGATAACACACTCCTTCTTGTGTTCTACTGCTTAAGTATACACTGCTTCTGCATGAACAAAATATACTGCATTCATACAATTTTTGTCACTCAGTTTACATTAGATAATATCTGTGCCGATGTATACATCTAAAAAGCACTACTTTTCAGTGCCTGCGATGGACTGGCAACCTGTCCAAGGTGTATTCTGCCTTTCACCCAGTGACCACTGGGATAGGCTCCAACACCCCCCCCACCAGCACTGAAGTCGTTCACTTCAATTTGTCACCAAGCAAACAACCAAAGCATTTAGTATTTTAAAAAGTTAACTTTCCACCGGTAGAAAGAGTCCAATAGGAAAGAATGAATGAAGCCTGAAGGAAGAGACCTAAAATGGAAAGATTTCTTTCAAAAAAAAAAAAAACATTGAAAGTTTTAACCAAATTTAATAGACTAAGAATTACCATCACCATTACACTACAATACTTTTAAGGAGATTAGTAAACACAGAAATTAAAATTCTAGACCGAAAGCGAAATCCTGGATACACTTTTCTAAAAAATCAGAACTGAAAACAGAAAGAAATGGTTCTTTTATATATGATCTGCCATTTTATATATACTTCTGAATTTTTGTATAATGCTGATTATACTTCAAAGGCGATCATCTTGTTAGGAAACAGAACTGGAAGATACAGAGGATTCATTTAATTTTAAACAGCTTGCTAAATAATGCTAATTAGTAACAGTTGTGTAATTATGAAAGTAAAAGTATTCAAGGTTTCCCAAAAGCATCTACAGCTGAATTCCAGGGACCCTCTACTTTAATAATGAAAAAATACTCAGACCATAGCCACGTCCAGTCATACTAAATTGTACATTAAAAGTATTACACCACCATTAGAAATGCATTCATTACTCGTTTAAAAAAGAAACAGCCAAAAACCTCAGCAGTATCTAACGAAAACACGTGTTTGCAGTAACAACTTCTTGCAAAACCATTGGCGAAAGGGTTTATTACCAAAACACATTGTGTTACTCAGTATTATTTACATGATTTCTAGTGAAGTATTTCATCAAATCAGTTAATGCTAAAAAATCTTGTAAGCCACAAACCGTATAGAACACAGCTGCAGTGAACCATGTTTATGTTTCACTATTTATTTGCTGCCACTCAAACTGTTTAAACACATCTGCACTGACCAGCGTAGGAGAGTGAAAAAATGCTGATTTTCTAAGTGAAAATAAGTGAACACATCCTCTACAAGGAACGTTAAATAAAGCAATCTCTGCAAATCTATATTTACTTGCTTAGTTTAACATATTGTAAAAAAATAAAACACAAAATATTAAATTTGAAAAAAAAATCATTTTTTCCCCAATATGCTAAATTCTGCAAATAAACAGCAATTAAATTAAAAGCAATAAATTGTGCAGAAGTGTGCTCTCAGTAGAGGATACGTTAACTTCTTTTCATTTAGAAAATCAACCAAACATGTCATTTGACCAGGGCACGCAAATTTCAGAATTCTACGAGTGCACATGTACACCAGCATAAAAACATACATGTGAATACATACTTTGTCAATACAACTTGATCAAAAAGACAAACAACTCAAAATCAACAACGAGCTAATGTGGCCTTACTTAGTGGTATTCAGAGCAGCGGACAATCTACTCTCTTCTCAGACTGGTTAGACTGCATGGTCTTTACTGCAGTGGTGCAGTAGGGGCTAAAGAAACAATCTGGGCTCCATAATATTTTCCTCCCCACCAGGCTTTCCCAGATTCCTAACACAGGCCTGGGGTTATTTTCTCTACTCTGTCTATAAATATTTCACGTGGCCATGTGACTAGACACTTTTAATTGAAGGTTTCGATGCCATCGTTATGCTGCCCACTGATGAGCCCTCAGTGTTGTCTCTGCAGTCCTTCCTAAAATGACTAATGCTCTATAGTGTATGACTCCCTCTCTTGCGCTCTCTGTCTGCCTTTTACACTCACTTTTCTCTTTTTCCTTCTCATTGGTCTTCTCTCAGTCTTCCTTTCCCCTCTGGTTTGCTCATTAGAACTCACCATGTTCTTTTCATTTTTCCTGCATTTTTTCAACTGAATGTTTGCTTTCAAAATGTAACTAACATGATACTATAATCTGTTTGGTATGTGTATCTTTCTATAAAATCCTTTATTTGAAACTTGGTATCTATATTCTGAATACTGTTTTTGTTTTTCTGTGTTTAACACTTTTGGATTGTCATTGTCTTCTCTAAAGAATTTTACCTCCAATGTTTCCTTAGGGCCGTTCTCTTTTTTTCCATTCTCTGTTGCATTTAGCTGCAGGGTCACCTCATAGCACTCTTGAATATCTGAAAATAATGGAAGAACAATGTCATGTGGGAAACACAAATAATTTACAGTTGAAATACTTCTCACTAGCTTGCATGTTCAAAACAATGGCTAGCTTATAATAAACCACTGATACGGTTTACATCCACAAATAAAACAGATTTTAGAATTAGCCTAATTCTTAATGAGGTATTCAACAGTATCATGTTAACTAAAATCAGCAAAGGAAAACCTACCAGTCATGCCAAAAGACACAGGTGCAAAACTTTCATGAGAGAAATATTACAAGGTCAAGAACAAAGTCAGTTCTTGGCTCAACCTGAGCATCAGTCCTGCCATTGTAGGGCTCTATAAATATCATCCAGCAGCTCCATCCAAATTTCCTGCCCATACTGAGTTTAGAGGGCAGCAGCAGTGACACTCACTTAGAAAGGCTGTTAATGTGACTCACTACTGATAGCACAGTGAAGTACACAGTACATTCCTCAGCTGTACTCTCAATACTGCTGTCATTACTGCAGGTCACAGTAATTCTAACTGACAGTGTTAATGATCAAAAAAACTGCTAACACAAACTGAAGAGATTTTATTATGTTGTAAACAGGACATCACAGCTGATTGGGCCTATTTGTTTGCTGTATTATCCATGTAAACTATATAAGAGGTATGCTAGTTGAAACAATAGGCAGGCTATGTCTATTCACACAGAGAATAGCTGCCTTGAACAAGCTATTCAATACAATCTAACCTAATTCATTAAGGAAATACATAGGTCTTTTCGGTCTGCCTCAATTCGTGATTGAAGATGTCCAAACAGTGAACAGTGTTAGTTTCAGACTATATCTATTGTTTCCTAAATGCTCACGCAGTCTTCAAAGCAGTCAGCAAAAAAGGTTCACAAAATTTTCATGAAAACTACAGTAATGTTCAAAAGTCAGAGACCACCATTTCATTTATTTAATTTCCAGTCAAAATGGCCATTAAGTACAAGTTATTCATTTTTCAACAGCAGGGAAAAAAAAGAAAATGTATATTTCACAGAAAACACAGAAGACTAAACAGAACAACTAAATATAATACTAAAACTTTTCAGTATATATTGTGTCCACCCTTGGCCTTTATTATAGCGTCCATTCCTTTCAGGGGACTTGCTCTGAGTTTTCAAAGAAATCTGCAGGGATATTTTTCTGTACCTCCAAAGTTCAGTCTTATACATTTTCTGCTTCTTGAAACCCAAGTAATATGAAACACATTTGAAACAGAGGTCTAGGCTTAGGGCTGTACAGTCTATTGTTCTGAGAACACCATAAGCTTCTTAGTTTAATGTGCAAATATTCTACTTTTTTGCCTATTTCTTTTCTCAGCATCAGCTTCTTGACAGTTACAAACTTTTAGCACAACAAAAACTCCAGCAGCACTGCTGTGTCTGATCCACTCGTACCAGCGCAACACACACTAACACATCAGTGTTACTGCAGTGCTGAGAATGATCCACCACCCAAATAGTACCTGCTCTGTGAGGATCTATGAGGGTCCTGACCACTGAAGAACATGGTAAAAGGGGGCTAACAAAGTATGCAAAGAAACAGATGGACTACAGTCATTTGTAGGACCACAAAGTGCACCTATATAGTAAGTGGAGCTGATAAAATGAGCGTAGAAATAAGGAGGTGGTCATAATGTTATACCTGATCGGTGTATCTTTTAATAACTTCATGGTTGGCAGCTCACCACCTGAAGCTCAATACTAGCAGGACTGAGCTTCTATTCATCCCTGGAACTACAGGTCTTCACCATGATCTTGCCATCTTATTCAAGAACTCTTTGGTCATTTTGTCTGAAGATGCAAGAAGTATTTGTGTGACTCTAGATAACCAGTCATCATTCTCAGCCCATATTGCAAGCCTGACCCAGTCATGCAAGTTTCTCCTGCACAACATCTGTTTTTCTCTCTCAGGAGGCCACCCAGGTGCTAGTTCAGTCTCTTGTCATCTCAAGGCTTGACTACTGCAACTCACTCTTGGCCGGTCTTCCTATGTGGGCCATCAGACTCCTGCAACTCATCCAGAAAGGAGCAGTATCATGTCATGTCAACCCTGATTCTTGCCTACACAGCCAAAAATGGACCAGTCCCTCCCTACCTTATGGCAATGGTCACAATTGAAATGGTACCTCGAGCCGTTTGAGCTTCAAGAGCAGCTCGGCTTGACCCACCATCTTTCAAGACGCGTGAAAGACAAGCGTCAAGACTCTTCTGGGTCCTGGCACCCAGGTGGTGGAACAAACTTCCACTGGTTGTCCGAACAGCAGACTCTCTCACAGTCTTTGTACAGCACTTAAGTGAGCACTAATCTAATACTTGTTGAAATTTATTGTGTTGCACTTATACTGTCTAATAACGTCTGCTAAATACCGTAAATGTACATGTATATGCAGTCGGGACCTCCACAGGACTACCACAGAGCAGGTATTATTTGGGTGATGGGTCATTCTCAGCACTGCAGTGACACTGATGTTGCGGTAGCATGTTAGTGTGTGTTGTGCTGGTATGAGACAATCAGACACAGCAGTGCTGCTGGAGTTTTTAAAGGAGCAATATGTAAGATAACTCAATCTGTCAAATTCACACTCCATACTCCAAACAAACAGGGGTCAACATATCACCAGAATACTCCAGAAAGTTGTGGTGTCCACCCCTCTCGAAAGAAACAAGGAAATGCACAGTCCCTCCTCCTTCTTCACTTCATCCCCTCCTTACCAGTCTAGAAGAAACGTTAACTCACTACTTTTCTTTGCTGTTGAACATGGTTTCTTGCCAAGAGCAGGCAGTGGTGGTGAAAATGGTCATTTGCCAAGATCCTTTGTTGCTTTTACTGTTTCTTTTATTGGCTACCTGCCTTTAAATGATCTAACTGGGGACGGTACCTTCAACATGATTGACAAGAGGTTAGAGTACGCCCTCAGGGCAGTGCCACTTCTTTATCTTCTCATGTTGAACTGATGTCAGACTCAACACTTCAGTGACCCACTATCGCCTCTTGAGGTACAAAGTGGTACTACAAGGCAGCATGGGCTGGGGCTATCTGGATCGCATGCTAATTTAAGTAGATATCTTTACAACACAATACATAGACGTCTTTGACATAACGTCATAACTGTTATTTTTTCACATTCCGCTGATAATTTTGGAGTGTTTAAATCTTACAAATTGCACTTTTAAACACAGTGTAATTGTTGGACTGAGTATAGTTCAGCAACCAAAAACATCCAGTGTCCTGTGACCACTGATGATTGACTAGAGGATGACTAAGACAAACTGTGCAGCAACAGATGAGCTGCTGTCTCTGACTTTACATCTACAAGGTAGACCAACAAGGTAGGAGTGTCTATCAGAGTGGACAGTGTGTGAATACAGTATTTAAACACTCTAGTAAACTGCTGTATCTGGTGCACTTGTACCAACTCAACACATGCTAACATGCCACCACCACGGCAATGTCACCGCAGCGCTGAGAATGATCCATCACCAAAATAATACCTGCTCTGTGATGGTCTTGTGGGTCCTGACCATTGAACAACAGTGCAAAGGAGGCTAAGAAAAAGTTTGCAGAGAAACAGATGGACAACAGTCTTTAAGTGCAGAAGTACCAAGTGCATCTAAATGGTAAATGAAACTGATAAAATGGACAATAAGTGTAAAAACAAGAAGGTAGTTTCAATGTTATAGCTGATCATTGTATTTTTGGGTGCTAGTTAATGTATTACTCATTGCATTTTCAACAGCACTTTCAAAAACCTGGGATGAGAAATAGCTGTGATAAACACTCTCTTCCACCACTAGGCCATGCTGTTCTGCCTTGGCTGCTCTGGTTGATTTAGGATACTTTGTACAATCACCAAATATTAATGCTTTTGCCTTTTTCATCTACCCTCCACCCTTTTTATCTCATCTGTGTATCTTTCCCGCTCTTGCCCTCTGCTCGTCTCTATTCATCACCTCTCGGGTCGGTAATTGTCCATGGCCCGTGGTCACCAATTAAAGGGGCAGCCATTTGAAGACAATTAGGGGAGACAATACTGCTGATGTCATACAGACTAACATACCAAGCCACAAACAGCACTAATGGCATAATGTGTTGCTTGTTGCTCCACCGTGTTCAAAGTGAAACATACTCTATTTACAACTCCCGTTCACGTGTTCCATCACAAAGGGAAAAGAAGTGCAGCTAGAAAGAACATAAATGTTTGAAAGGTTTTATAAAGAACTTTTTTGAGATATCTGAGCGACGGTGTGTGTGCATGTTTGTGCATGAGGGGGTGTCAGGGGCAGCGTCGGAGTCCCACTGGGGTGCAGTGGGAAAGACAGTAGAAGAATGGGGCGATGTGACTCATCATGCTGTGTCTGTGTGAGTCTGTGTGAGTGGGAAGAGAACAGTGTGTGGGAGGCAGTTATGTTGCCCGGCTGGCCAGAGACAGATGAGAGAGAGAGAAAGAGAGAGAGAGAGAGAGTAAGTAAAGTAAGTAAAGTGCAACCTAAGTGAGCAGGGCCCGCTGCATGATTATAAAACATTCAGCTTTATAATGAATGGAAGTGTTTAAGTGTGTCAGACAGAAACACCTCCTCGTTTACTAAAGTTCTCTAAGCTGTCTCAAAGGATGGAGGCAATAATGATCTATGGAAATTGTATCTGTTCACCAGGAATAAATTCAGTCGTAATTGCAGAGACAGCAACAAAGCAGGTGGCTGGCACTAGTTTGTCCTTCTGAATGTCTCTCACTCTCATTCACTCAATCTTTCAGGCGAATCTTTAAATACTAAATGCCCCAATTTCTCTAGGTACATCTATAAAATATTCAATGAATACAGGTCTTAAACTTGCAAAATGTAGCTGTTCAGTGCAATGCGTTAATGTTTTCTCCACATTTAGGTACTTATTTTAAAAGGTTCATATCAGTACTAAAATAGTGTTTCATTCCAGACTGCTTTCTGAATGAGCCACAGTACAGGGCAACCAATCAGAACAGAGATCTTTCAATTGACCATCCCTGGACATGTATTGTTGATTTTCTAAGTGAAAACGAGTGCACATCCTCTACAGGAAACACAGTTCTTCATATTTTAATGCACAATTACTGTTTATTTACTGATTGTAACATAGTAACATAAAATGTAGCATGCACACAAGTTATGCCATGTTTTTTATTTGATGTTTTATATATGTTACGTAATATGCTAAATTCATAAATTAAATGAAAGTCAGCTACTAAACAGGAATTTTGCACTAAAATGTGCAGGAAAATGTCATGCTTAAGTTCCCAGTAGAGAATGTGTTCATTTATTTTCTCTTAACATCAACAAAACATGTACTTCGACTGCTGGCATTCAAACTCTTGCATACGACCATTTCCATCTAAAAGGCACAGCAGAAAAGGAAAATGGTTAAGTAAAAATTTATTATGACTGTTTTTGGTGCATAAACCCACATAAATGTTATTAGAGAAAAAAATTAAATACAAGAAAAATATAGGACATGGATCCTTTAAACAGTAAAAAATGTGTTAAAATAAACTGCTCTGGAAAATGTTCCCACAGCCAACTGAATCCTAAAAGACCACATGAACTTCTGGCCACAGAACAAAAAATGCTAACCCCTCCAACCATAAAAACTGCACAGTTCCCACTATACTTCTACAGAATTGTGCTGTGTGTATGGCCCCTTTTACTGCTCCCTTTAAGTAATGATACCCTTTACTGCATTTTAATGGATGTTTAGTGTTGCTTGTGTTAAGTTAAAGCTAAGGAATTTTCTGTGGAAATACATAGCTTTGTGGTATTTGGTCTTAAATGCAGTTCTACTCAGTACAAACAAGGGATGCTGTAATAGAGGTCGCCACAGCACCTCTTTTGTGAGAGCTGCCTGTTCCCCTGTGTTTTTGTGTGTTTGGAACAAGGGGATGAGTCTGCTGTTAAGGAAACCTTTGTTGAAAATTGTGCAATCATGCAGACATCCAATCAAGCTTTCCGTCCACTCTCCGTCCCTTCCACAGAGCACAGAGCTTGGCTTGTTGCAAGCCCGTCACAGTTCTCCCATACCTTTACCATAATTATAATATGATAAGACAACAAAACACACATACAGTACAAAATATACAAACCTGCTCTTAATAAGTATATTTTTCAAATTTATATTACATTCAGCAATCATTACTTTCCTTTACCAAAGCCACAGTGACGAACGTACAAAACATTTGAACAATTTATGTCACTTTTATGACGCACTGAGGTTTTCAAAACAGCAAGTATCAGTTGGAAATGCAAACATGATCATATTAAACAGGCTGCATGAATGATGATGGGCAGTGTTCCCTCTACTGCAAACCACCGCTGTGTTGTTTAGTAGGCCAAGCTGCTTGGTACACGCATTAAGACCAAATAATAGAGAAAAACTGTTAGTGGAAATATTATGTTCCCATTCGTACTGGGCACCACCCCAGAGTTCGCGCTGATTAAAACCACATGTTTCTCACAGCTGGGCCTTACTTGACCCCATTCTCTTCTATACCTGAGAGACAGCTTAAAGCTCTCCTCCACAGTACAGTATGCTCGGAAAAAAACACACCCAGCCTGAGGGAAGATGGGAATGAAGCACCGAAGCAATGAGCTTTTTGTTTTCAGTCTATCTGCAGTTAACGTCAGCCTTGCACATTCCACTAACAATCCAAGCTCTTTCCGGAATGTGTGGAAATCTTATCCACTTATTTTGCCAGTTTCAGGCTGGAAATGGTGTGGTTTCTATATCCCTGATTCAGATACTGATAGAATAATTAAGAGCCTTTGTAACATCTGTTAAACATACTGTAACTGGATAAAAACACAAGGAGAGGTCATGTATTGCCAATACAGTACTGCATTACAAAGGCATTAAGGTGTTATAAATGCACCTTTTTGTACATTGTGGCATACAGGCTGATTTGTTATATTCAACAGGTGTATAGATCACCTGGGACTAGAATAAAGGGAAAACCTGTCCCTCTCTTCACTACAGGCTCATAGCAACCCAAACTAAACTAACGCCCTGCCTAAGCCACAACCCCCGGCAGTATTTTTCAACAGTGCTGCAGCTGTAGCTGTCTTATAGGAAGCCCTCATTAAAGTTTGGGCCTGGTAATTAAGATAACTACTCAGCCATTTGTTGAAGAAAAAACGTTTTCCTTTGCAGAGCAAAACTATAAGAAACTTAAGAATCGAGTTTGTAACTTCAGAGAAAAAAAAAACAACACAAGACAGAGACTAAACACAGAGTAACAAATTATTACTATTATAACTGAAAGGTGGAATCAATGTGATGGTTATTCAAGGTTAGTGCACAAAGTTGGTTAACGCTTTACAGTTTGACTGTTCATTAGTCTAAATGACACCCACATAAGCTTGTCATGAGAGTGGGCATAATCCTACATAAATGTTTATAAATGCTTTTTCCAACAGGCATCACTCACTATAAAGGTTACTTTGGCCAATTTAGTAAGCTAAATAGCCTTTATGACAGATGACATCGATTGAAATAAGCCTTTATAACATTTATGTATGGTTATGTCAGTTGTCATGACAATCACAAGCTGTGTGCCTTTGGCCTCCCTGATTTCCCCATAACCTACTGAGAAGGAAATGTGGGTTTATTTTATTTTATGTTATTATTTATTTATTTTTACCATCTTAGCCATAAAACAAGATCACATTATACAGAGCTATTTGAGCACTTTCCCTTTAAAAAAACTGAGTAACTCCACGTCACTCAGTAAGAGAATGTTAGCATTCTTTTTAAAAACGTCTCCTCCACAGACTTTTAAGAGGTATGTCACATGGAAATCTGTTACAACACTAAATATGCATAATTATTGTTTTTTTTTCCATAAAAAAAATCACATGAGGAACACGCATGCAGCATCTTTTAAAAACTGCCTTAACAGTCAAGAAAAATAGCAATAACAGAGGACGTGTGCCCTTTTTTGACACAATCCCCTTTTTTTGACGCAATCCTTCTATCCACTTAATTGAAACTGAAAAATAACTGACACTAAAAAATAGCTTGCTGTTGTGATGCACTGATACTGATCTGATACTGGTACTTAAATATAGTATTTGCATCAGCACTAGAGTGCTCTACTGAGTAATGCACAGGTCTACATGTCGGCAGTGTGGGATTATTTGACATTTTAGACTAGCAGTACTAAAAGTGTTCACCACAAACTGTGTAACATCAATATTTCTAGGGGAGGCCAGCAAGCTATTAAAACACTCAAAAATGTCATTCTTTCAAGCTTAGTATGCTTTATTTGTGACACAGAACACTACTTTTACCAAAATACAATATATAAAAGTGGAATGGTATAAATATCAGCATTTATTTACATGAATAGAATAATATGGTCAGACAGAGTTAAGACCAGTACCAGTATAAGCAACTACTTAAGGATGAAGCATTTGTACTAATATCAGAAGGGAGTAAGTGATACCAGTGCATCATTAGCTTGTTAGATGACATTTCTGACTGCCCTGCTCTTTTGTACTGTTGTAAGTGAATGGCTAAAACTCCTCTGTTGTGAGCATTACCCATTTAGTAAATTAAATAAAAATTTACAAAAGTCTATTTATGTTTGTTACTGTAGGCTTGTCATCATTACTGGGGCAAATGATGATAATTGAGATTTCATCACCCAGTACGAGTCCATGTGTTCAGTGACCGTCTAAACTGCGCACAACTACTGCCACCTAACCACAGGTTACTCACATTGGACTGTCCTTACCAAAGTTTCTGCTAAATTACATATTACTTTCACTTAACATGATAATATTTATTTTTAGCTCTGTGTGGCCCTACTCATGCTTTTTTCATTCTAGTTTCGGCACCTTCTCAGTGTTGTACAGCATTCCAACTAGCATGGAATGCTGCGCGACACTGAAAAGGTACCAGCAGGGAGCAATTAATAAGATTTAATCTTAAAAAAAGACATACTTGTGAGGCACAAAGATCATTTTGTTGTCTTGTTGAAAGAGGGCTTTTATTTGGCCTAACTCAATAAATCTAAACTTTGTTATGATGACACGTAAATGAACCAGACCTTCATCTGTTCATCTTGGTTGTATGTACTGGAAACAGAGGAATGAGCAATATTCAGCATGTGGGACTACAGCCAGAGCTGGATTTTTTTAAGACTGGATGATTATAGTATAACTGAAATTCATGAGCTAGTCCAACAGCAGAACACAGCATTATTGAAAAAAAGAAACAGAGTTGCAAAGTCAAATATTTTCTTGAACCACAGTGATTTTATGTGAAGTATGCTGAAGTCAGTGAAGTCTTCAGCTCTAAAAATGTCGAACCTTTAAAAGAATGTGTCCGGAGAAATGATTCACATAGAACCAAATCTTACCTAAAAGGGCCTTAAACAGCTGGCTGCCAAAGATAGCAGAAACCTTTCCCACACTGGTCTTCAGAGCCTGCTCCTCTGGGCTAGTCAGACTAGCCTGATACTGCTTCAGTAACCCAACAGCTCTCTCCGTATCTGTAAATAAAAAAAAGAAATGTGACTATATACACTGTCTGCTTTTTGCTTCAAAATGCTGTTCATGTATCTTTCAGCTACCAATGCTATATGTGTTATAATAAATGTATCAATTTAAACTGTACATCTTTTAAGTTTGTCCATAATCAGCATATTTCAAGCAGCCTACAACAAAGATTTAAATTTAAGTTTAAAATAAGATCATTTACTATAACTCACAGAGCTGTGATAAAGGGGGAAGAACCACTCATTGAAGGCTTATCTGAAAAAGGTTCCTAATTTTGCCCCCATTTGAAATTCTAAGTGTTGAACTGTGATTTAGCTTCGATACCAGTTCTTTAAGTTGAAAAGTTGTAATTGTTCACAATGGTGGCGATAGCAATGATTTCAAACAGATGTGTGAAGCATTATATTCGTCTAAAAGCTACATCACAACGGTGTACAGGAAGTTATATACTGTACAAAAGTGTTACGAACGTTGCAGGTTGTCTGATGTTTGTAAGTGTTTTATGATGGTTTTGCAGCCTAAAGCATATTTCTAAAACGTATTAATGTCAGAGAGATACATGCAGACCAAACAGTACCCTAAGAAACTTTACTTTGATTAATCGGTAACACTTTACATTAAGGGTCACTAATCAATCATTAAATATATAATAATCAACTATTAGTTTCCCATTAGTTAGTTATTAGTTAACTCTTCATTAAGCATTAGCTATTACTTAGTAATTGATTAAGCACTTATCAATTAGTAATTAAGTACACTGTTAGGTCATAAGTTAGTTTGTTGTTAGTTTGTGGCTTACTTACTCATTATCTGTGTGCTAATTGCTGCTTATTACATTGTTAATTAACTAATAAGTATTTTTCTTCATATAAAGAAGTAACGTGATAACTTACTAGCACTTATGTGTTAATCACGCTAATTATCTGTTAATTAACTTTCCATCACCTCCATATATTCAGTTGCTTCACTTTTCTCACTTTGGTTCATTAAAGATGCTTATGGTTCTATCTGACCATAAGATGAGCGCACACAAATTCATGGACAGTTTTGTTATTCATCACGTTCATCTTGGCATATCTGTACTCATATCTGGTAGGAGTGCATGTAAGTTTGGGCATAAATGCTGGATATGTGGCTAATTAACCAAAACTATTATCAACATAATCTGTAATTGCAAAAATAAAAACAACAGTAGAAAATATCAATAATACTAATTTGTGTGCATGACAGCCCAGTACAAAAGTGGATGTACTTACTTTACATGCACATTGATATAAACAAGTGCTGCAACTATTTCATGTTCCATTTAAAGACACATTACACTGTGCTTTTGTTGTCATACACTGCAATAATACAGCGTTTATTTTAGGGAATTAATTACACTAAACAATCACTCTACTATGTTAACAACACTGAGAGTATTTTGTTTTATTTCACATTTTATTTTTTTCCAGTTGTTTTCATTTTAATACTATTAAGTTTGGTCAGCAGGGGAGGAGTGCACTCACTGCTGGACATCAAACTCCACCCATGAGCACGGCCATTAGCTTTCATGCCAAAGACTGCCGTTTTATTGGCTGACTACTGAAACATCTGCATGAATTAGTGTGTGCTTCATGTAAATGATATGTAAATGAGGTGCTGGTAGGCTGGTTTCATGCACTGAAGCTGATTTATCATTTATGCTCAAATCTCCACTTGTTTCCACATCGTACAAAATTGTTATGAATCAGCAGTTCATACCGTATAAAAGGCAATAAAAAGGTGTTTTTTTTTTACGTAACTTCGATGATTAATGGCCATTAGATCTTTACATTTTGACCATTAATTACTTCTTAAATTCCACTTAATCAACCATTCATTGCTTCTTAAATTCCTCTTACTTAATCATTAATTACTTCCTAAATTCGTCTTACTTAACCATTAATTACTGCTTTTGTGTCCCTCCAAGTAAAGTGACAACACAAAATCAGTAATTAATGGTTAAGTAAGAGGAATTTAAGAACTAATTAATGGTCAAAATGTAAAGATCTAATGGTCATTTTGTCATGATAGTGCACGAAAACTAACATATGTCTGTTGTAGCTCAGTATTTGAGCATTATAGTTCACTGCTAACTATTAATCCAGACGTAATCGCGACTCTTTGTGAAAAGGGCCCATGGCCATTGGATCTTTACATTTTGACCATTAATTACTTCTTAAATTCCTCTTACTTAACCATTAATTACTGCTTTTGTGTCCCTCCAAGTAAAGTGGCAACACAAAAGCAGTAATTAATGATTAAGTAAGAGGAATTTAAGAAGCAATGAATGGTTGATTAAGTGGAATTTAAGAAGTAATTAATGGTCAAAATGTAAAGATCTAATGGCCATGGGCCCTTTTCACAAAGAGTCGCGATTACATCCGGATTAAGCTTTAGCAGTGAACTATAATGCTCAAATACTGAGCTACAACAGACATATGTTAGTTTTCGTGCACTATCATGACAATAGGAAGTGAATGGAAGCACTGATTTAACTGTAAACACAGCTAAAATGCTGTGTGTGGTGAAGCCCTGCTTACAGCTGCTCACATCAAGCAGTGTCTCTGTAGTTGTACAACATGCCAGCGATTTCTGTAATATTTTTGTTTTCAAAAGAAATTAAAGTTCTTCTGTGTAGTATGAATTTGGTAAACGTTGTTTAGCTGTCGCTAGCTAGCAACGCTAGAAGCCACTTCTAACTGTAGCTGTGTTCCCAAAATAAGGAAGCTAGTTAGCTTTCATTAGCTGCTGGCACCAGCTGGCTAACGTGGAGCAGGTTCTGTGACACATTTAGCTACATGATGGCAGTGACTTCTGACATAAACACAAACAAAAAACTTTTACATGTAAAGTCTATTTGATAGACATCGTTTAAACTGTATTAGCTTACGGTAGGCTAGCAGGCTACAGTCGCTAATTAGCTAGCCTGCCATTAGCAGTTTGAGGAGCACCAGCTTCGTATGAGCATCAAACTTTAAAGCTAAGTTAGCTCTAACGCTAGCTATGTTAGCGATCTGCCAAACAGCATTATTCTTATAGTTTCATGGCAATTTTTGAAGCAGCACTTCAGAAAACATCCACCTTTCACTGCTCAGTCAAAAACGCGACTCCTAGCTGAAAAAAAACATCTGAAAAAGCTGCTTCATGTTAACCGGGCTAGTTTGGTTAGCAGTAGCTTCTAGCCAGTATAGCTAGCTTAATATAAACAAAGTCTATAACATTTATGCTACATATAAAAGTTCTTCTTTCTTTTGAAAACAGAAGATTACCGAACTCGCTGGCGTGTTGTACAAAGACACAGAGACGGCTTGATGTGAAGCAGCTGCAGCAGAACTGCAGTAAAAACAACATACAGCATTTTAGCTCTGTTTACAGTTAAGTCAGAGCTTCTTACTCTCACTGTCACAACCGTGCAGGAAAACTAAAATACAGCTGTTGTAGCTCCGTGTTTGAGCGTTACAGTTCACTACTAAACACTTTGACATCGCGTCTGCAGTAGCTATATGGAGAGGAAGTGAGTTTTACCCTGCTAATGCTTAAACCGGAAGTAATCACGAATCTTGTGAAAAGGGCCCATTAATCATCAAAGTTACGTAAAAAAGGAACACCTTTTTCTTGCCTTTTATACGGTATGAACTGCTCTGCGTCTGATTCATAACAATTTTGTACGATGTGGAAACAAGTGGAGATTTGAGCATAAATGATAAATCAGCTTCAGTGCATGAAACCAGCCTACCAGCACCTCATTTACATATCATTTACATGAAGCACACACTAATTCATGCAGATGTTTCAGTAGTCAGCCAATAAAACGGCAGTGTTTGGCATGAAAGCTAATGGCCGTGCTCGTGGGTGGAGTTTGATGTCCAGCAGTGAGTGCACTCCTCCCCTGCTGACCAAACTTAATAGTATTAAAATGAAAACAACTGGAAAAAAATAAAATGTGAAATAAAACAAAATACTCTCAGTGTTGTTAACATAGTAGAGTGATTGTTTAGTGTAATTAATTCCCTAAAATAAACGCTGTATTATTGCAGTGTATGACAACAAAAGCACAGTGTAATGTGTCTTTAAATGGAACATGAAATAGTTGCAGCACTTGTTTATATCAATGTGCATGTAAAGTAAGTACATCCACTTTTGTACTGGGCTGTCATGCACACAAATTAGTATTATTGATATTTTCTACTGTTGTTTTTATTTTTGCAATTACAGATTATGTTGATAATAGTTTTGGTTAATTAGCCACATATCCAGCATTTATGCCCAAACTTACATGCACTCCTACCAGATATGAGTACAGATATGCCAAGATGAACGTGATGAATAACAAAACTGTCCATGAATTTGTGTGCGCTCATCTTATGGTCAGATAGAACCATAAGCATCTTTAATGAACCAAAGTGAGAAAAGTGAAGCAACTGAATATATGGAGGTGATGGAAAGTTAATTAACAGATAATTAGCGTGATTAACACATAAGTGCTAGTAAGTTATCACGTTACTTCTTTATATGAAGAAAAATACTTATTAGTTAATTAACAATGTAATAAGCAGCAATTAGCACACAGATAATGAGTAAGTAAGCCACAAACTAACAACAAACTAACTTATGACCTAACAGTGTACTTAATTACTAATTGATAAGTGCTTAATCAATTACTAAGTAATAGCTAATGCTTAATGAAGAGTTAACTAATAACTAACTAATGGGAAACTAATAGTTGATTATTATATATTTAATTATTGATTAGCGACCCTTAATGTAAAGTGTTACCGATTAATCATTATTGTACCATTACCTACATTAGATAAAGGCACGTGTAGGATCACTGTTATTAAATATCTTTATTTGCGTTGTAACCTCTGGTTCCTATCACCACCATCGTAAGTCAGAAGCTTTCTCAGCAATTCACTTCGCAGCAAATTTTGAAAATTCTGTGGAATTCCCCTTCAGCTGTTACTAAGGCTGACGGAATCTTTCTCAGTACCTCAGAGTTAAGCCTCAGACCACAAGGCAAGTAAGTTACTCCATTTGTTTGACTTACAGAAGATGGGAGTAACGGTTAGAGCTTAGTGAGAGGAGTAAAGGGGAACGCCCAAACTTCTCTTCTGGTTGCACTACTTAACACCCAGAAGCTGCTCTCGGAGGTCCCAGTGCTCAATGATCTGAGGAGAAAGTTGTCAACAGCGCGAGGAAAAATACTTCCTGCTTCCCAAGGGAATTTCCAGAATATGAATAGCCACACTGTCAGCATGTCAGTGTTAAAGCTTTCAGAGTAAAAACTAAACTATCAGCTTGAACTGAGAGACTTTAGGTGCAGTTCGTATGAAGCAACACAGCTAACACTCGTCAGTTAACTTCACAGTTAAACCGACAGTATGCTAGCTATAGCCAAAGTTAACGTTAGCCTCCCCATCTCCCGTGTGAAATGGACTTACCGTACTTATGGACCATGGTGAACAACTGTGACCTGACAGTTACACAGTCCGCTAAGTCAGTGTTAGTATTTCCAAATCGCCTTCACGTTTCATTTAACGTCTTACGGCGAACTAACAGAGCTTTCTCACTTTCTCACAGTCTGTCGCTCGCTTGTTTTCTTTTCGGTCTGACCGTCTCAGTCCTGTTGGCACGAGACGAGACACGAGATGCGCTATGACGGTTTAATAGCGGTGTAAACTCTTCAGACGGAGGGAAAGTTCACCCGCCAGTGTTGCCTCCCGCTCTTCTTGCCGTCTGCACAGCCTTCATCATGCTATAAAGTTTTGACGAAATGTGGAGGGCGGTGTTGTCCAGTTCTCTGGACGTTTTACTCAGACTACGCAGGGCTGGCAACCTGCTCAGATGAGGGGGCGGCTGGTTCACACACAGTGTCCTAATGACCCGCGTGTCACAGCCTTGCTATGATTTTTCATTCACACCTCCAGTCTATTACTTTAACAGGAGAAGAAATGTAATCGGGAGCAGAAAAAGCGGTTAAACTGACCCTATATGTTATCAATATTTCGCAACTTTCATTCTGATCTGATGATATAACTTGTTTGTCTACCATTGAAGTACGTGAATGACTCCTTTTTTGAACCGATTCTTTTCAGTCAAATAAATCGATCCAAACGATTCAAGAGTCAACTGAATCTAAATTTTTGGAGTATTTACGCAATGTTTATGGCTAGACTGTAAGTTGAAGACTTTTGAATAATTAATCAAATCGAATAATAATAGTCTTTGGGAAACTTAATCCCATAAAAAAGCATATATAAAGCATAACACACCACACTTACATTTACAACAGCTAGTAAATTCGTTGGGGGAAATGAGGAGAACGTTAACAGATTTGTGAATCAATGAATCATTGAATCGGACGTCCTGTTCACGCAAACCAACGGTTCAAAAGAATCGATTCGGTAAACCGAATAGAACCTTTTATGTAGATTTGTAGATTATTATGAGGTCGTGTCTGCCACCTACTGGTGATAAGCTGTAATAGATAGCATGATTTTGACCCTTAAACCCAAGTGTAAAATGATGAATAAATCTTTTAAATTTAATTTTATTTATGCAAACAATTTACAAACAGTAATGGCAATGCAGTGTACACTTGTTTACTTAACACAAACCGAAGCAGTCGGTAAATTAACCAAATCAAGTAAGAAAAAGGGGAAAAAAAGGAGGTGGGGGTTGTGTTAGGGGAGACACAATTACTCCATAGTGTTTTCATAACCATGTTCATAAATTAATTTTAGTAACTTTTTGGCATTTTTCTTTTTCGTGCACTCTAACCTACCAAAATAGTACATGAGTTCCTTATGAAAAATGTAAAAAGATGGTGTTGTTTTCATATACCTTACTTTATGTATGAAACATTTTCCTAACAATAAAATAACGTTTACAACCATTTCAGAATCTGTGTCTCGGAAAAGCATTCCATATATAATATCTGTCTTTGTAAACTCACTTAAACCCACAATCTTTGGATATAATCAATAATGTAAATCATCCCAAAATGTGCTTGAGAACTTACAAGGAACAAATAAATGCTCAGTTGTTTCAGTATCTTCTTTACAGAAAGCACAAACATTTTCATCCAAATTAAACCTTTGTCTCAGAACTTTTAGATGGATATATTCAATTCATTATTTTGAAATGAAATTCCTTAGCCTTTGGGGGGACAGGAAATGTAATATATATATATATATATATATATTATTATTATTATTATTAATGACATATTTTATTGTTTGCGATTATAAATCAAAAAGTCCTTGCAAAAATCTTCATTAGACCTAACATTACCATTTGAGTCTAAAAATGTAATGTTGACCATATTCCCTTTTCAAACCATTCAGAAATGAACAGTGATTTGAATCTGTAGGTAATACATCAGTTGTTCCAGATTGGAGTATTATGAGGTGTGAAATTGTGACTGTAGATCATTTTCCAATACCTGTTGGTGGAATAAGGAAAAATTCTCTGGGAATATGAAACCAAAAGCTGTCACAGTCTGTAACAAAAGATTTTAACAAATTGATTTTCAGAGGAAAAAAAATAATTTAAAGTTTTTTTTTTCCATATTGGCCTTAAATAACACAAATCAAGAGAAATAACATTAACACATTAATTTAGATTTTATTGCTTATTTTATTGAATTTGCTGAGATACGTTACCCTATTAAGGTACTAACTTAGTGAAATTACAATAATATTTTCAGAAGTGAAGCAAAATCTTGGTTTCTTTCTTTGGAACATGTGCACAATTATTCATCTTTTGAAATTAAAATATACATAAAGTCAACCTAATCATTATCAATCGTATACCAACTAGTAGCAAATGGCCCCTTGAATAATGAACAGTATCTATATCCAGCTGCAAACTAAGTTGGCCAGTATTTTAACACACTCAAATACATTTTCAAATATACTTTCAGAAAACTTTTTTTGCCACACTACTGTATTTTTTTTTTGTTTGTTTTGTTTTGTTTTTGAACTTTCACTGCAGATGAAGAGGAATGCTTATTCTGATTTATAGTATCCACCTGCTCTTCTTGTTTGAGAATATCTTCTTTATTTGTCTGGTCTGACATCATTTCCAGAGCCTTTCTCCAGTAAAATACATGAGAAGTAATGTTACAAGCATTTTCAATCATCCCAAAGATTTTGGATGAGGTAGAGGTCAGCGCTCTGTGCAGGCCAGTTATGTTCTTCCACACCAAACACTTGAAGCCACTGCTCTATGGGCCTTCCCCAAACTGCTGCCACTGTCCAAGCACACAGTTGTAGAGAATGTGATTAAACGCTGCAGAATTAGACCTTCATTTTATCGGACCTAAAGTTTAGAGTCTAACCCACTAATTAGAATAGGGGTTCAGATACTTTTGGTCATGTAGTGAATGATATAGATGCTAAAATGTACTTTTGTTTAAATAATATTATGTTGTGCTGGTGAAGATTTGGTGTTTCAAAAATGAATATGATAAGAAAAAGTACTCAGTTACAAAGTAAATTGTTTACTATCCCTAAATGGGCAAAGTAGCCCAGTGGATAGGGGGAGCTTAGAGGGAGCATATCATCTTCTGGCATGTCTGCCAACAAGTCATTTGGCACAGGTGTTCAAAACAGGTGAAACTTTGTTTCTTGCAGAGCCCTGGCTTCATTTGATAAGAGCAACCTCAGACCTTCTTCCTAGCTTCAATTTTTGGCCCAGGAGGGGGGGCTGTGACTCTGAGCAAGTGAGGTTTGCGTATCTTTACAAATCCCTATTGAAGATGGGGCACTAGGCTATATTGTGGTCAAATGTGCTTGGAGGTGATGACATTTTATATCAAAATACACTATTTTTATTGCATCTGGAGCTTTATATGCAATCCATGTTTGGTGGCACTGGGTCGATGAAGTTTGATCTTCCTCAGCCAGCCAGGGCTCTTGTTGCCATACAGATTACACAGAGAATTTTCACATGGGCTAATCTGTATGCCTAGAAACTGTGTCTGTAGTGTCTACTCGTGCCAGCTAGTGTGTTTGAAATAATACTCAGTTGCTAGTGGTTTGTCACCAACCAGTTGAAATTCAGTTCACCTCTTTTAACATCAACAGAGTATATTAATGTGTGGCTAAGATTTGAATCAAAGTTTCTTCTCTTTTTCCTTCAAGTCATAATGCATAAACAGAAGTAGTTCCACACATGGAAGGGTAACATTCCATTTGACCACATCTATACATTTATACAGTTTTTGGAATATATTGTCGCTGAAAAAGATGCATCTCCAAAATAGTAACTTTACACAAGAATTAATTTTTACATTCATCATGGAATGCAGTGTTCAGTCGAATTATACTGTCAAAAATGAACAAAAATGGAGATTTTTTTTGGGGGGCAGCAACAATATTTAAGTTAATTTAATGTTTACATCTGCAGTAGATTGTCCACCTTGTGATCTGAGGCCCCCTGTCACAGGCCCCAATGGCCTGATTAGTAATCTATCTAAGCACCAGCTTCATCTACAGAAACTATAGATAAAAATGAAATAACTTTAAAAATTAAATAAACTTAAAAAAAAATCAAGTGCCCAGAGTTATTGCCTGCCATTGCTGCATTCAAATTAGATTGTGTAAGTATGGTACTATTTATAAGCACCTATGAGACAACAAAAGAAAGTATGTCTTGTGATCTATCTCAGTACCATCTTAAAAAGCAAAAATCTGGGAAATGAGGGTAGTTTGATATTCTGTTCAGATAGTCTGCTTGAATGGCTACAGATTGGCACAAAATACACAAAGCATTTTCTGTTAAGTCGGCTATTTCAATGATTTAAACATTAACGGATTTCTGCAGATCTAAATGAATGCAGACAGCATGTAAGAACAGCCATATGTAAATGTTTGAACAACCCCGGGTTAAATTATTTTCTTTTGTTGATTTTCTAAATGAAAATAAGTTAGAAAAAAATTGAATATGTAATTTTCCTCCAAATTTTAGCACATATTTCTATTTATATTGGCAAAAATAAAACAAAATCTAATGTTTGCACATTTTGTTTCACCTCACAATATGTTAAATTCAGCAAATAAACACTAATTGTGCATTAAAATGTGCATGTGTATTCTCTGTAGAGAGAGTGTGCTTACACACACACACACATCATCTAAACCGCTTATCCTTCTGGGTCACGGTGGGGAGCTGGAGCCTATCCCAGCTGTCATTGGGCGGAAGGCAGGATACACCCTGGACAGGTCGCCAGTCCATGGCAGGGCAGACAGACAGACATACACAGTCACACACACACCTAGGGGCAATTTAGCACGTCCAATCAGCCTGACTGCGTGTTTTCGGACTGTGGGAGGAAACCGGAGTACCCGGAGGAAACCCACACAGACACGGGGAGAACAGGCAAACTCCACACAGAAATGACCCTGGCCGCCCCGCCAGGAATTGAACCCAGGCCGTTCTTGCTGTGAGGCGACAGCACTACCCACTGTGCCACCGTGCAGCCCGAAAGTGTGCTTATTTTTACATAATTTGACCTTAGGCGCCCAAACTTGCATATTACTGTAGACCCTTGTAAGAATAGCACACTACTAGCTGCCATGCCCACATACCACATTCTTGGTTATTTTCCTTTGTTAAAGTTTAACCAAAGAATTTTTGCAGTAATCTACACCACAATCTAAACATCAAGGTCACAAAATAATAGTTCAATCCTTACACTTCACAACAGGTCAAATCAGGGCCACAACTAGAATCGTATTGGTGCAAAAATAAAGAAATTTATCAATAGGCCTCCATACAATAGTGACTTTCAATGCATAAAAAAGGTAATTGGCTTGTTTGCACACAATTGTTATGGGTTAAACCGGCTGATGCCTTTACGTCATGCCACTTATCCCACTAGTATCTACTGTTAACTTATTTGAGTTGCAATAATTATATATTGTATCTACCTATCTGACACACCACAGGCCAAATAAGGTTAGATAGATTACATAGAGAACCCTTGCTGTATGACATACATATTTTGATACAGTTCATATTTTGATGTATTACTTGAGTGAAATCATTTTTACCTTTTAAGATCTTTAAATTATAAAGAATAAAATATCATGCTGCAGGTTGTGAAGGATGCTAAAATAGTTAGCACTGATGCATTCTGTATAAGAGGAAGATAAATAGATATTAGGGCTGTCTGTGTAGTGTTGATGATAGCTGACTGGTGACGTATGTCACTTTGAAACTGAATCTTTCAGTTTCTGTATGTACTAAAGATTTTAGTAACCACGGTCCCTGTGCAATGGGTCCCAGTGGGATTGCCCCCTCCTGTTGTTTTTGATTGCACTATTGAAAGGCAATGACAAAAAGTATATTTTATATTCCTGGTTCTGGAGCTTTGTCAATAAACCTTCGTCATCCTTTATAGAGTATAAAATAGACTGGTAATATGTACTGAATGTTGTGCAGGAATATTACACAGTGAAAAACTGATTAATCAATTGTGCTTTATTTTCACAGCAATAATGCAATAATGTACAAAACATGTGACCGTTCACCATCAGGCTCTCAGAAAAGAACAACCAAAAGAAATATAAAACAGAAAAAACACACACAAAAAACACCAAAAGAGAGTTAAAATGCCATCCATACATTACACTAAAACTAGTGATTAATGCTCTCCATTTGTAAATGTGCAAAGAGGCAACTGGCAATTTATGTGATAAAACTTTATAAATGCATTTTAAACATGCACAATACACACTGGCCCAAACACAAAGAGAAGGTCAGCGTACATTCAGTACAGCTCATACATTCACAGTGCTCATCATATCTAACAATTTCAAAGATCTGCATTCCCATGCATTAAATCAACATCAGGGGATAACAACACTGTAGCCTGGATCATTTTAATCTGCTGTACCAGGATGAAAGAGGAAGAATTCAATAACTACTGATTAGATTACCAAAGCAAACTAGCCTACTTATAATGGATTGTTTTGGATTGTTTTCTTTCCACTCTGAAATTAATTAACAGGATATTGTTAAAGTTCCTTTGGCTTTTGGAAAAGGACACTAAATCTCTAAGTATTTGTAACACAGAACATCTTCAGGGTTATTCCAACTACAGAGCCTGCCAAAAACAACTATCTGGACATTCCAACCACACATTCAGCTTCAGTTCAAGGTCACAGAAGAACACTAGTATGAAGTTACAGTCTTTCTTCCAAATATCAGGCAGTCAGTTACAGAGGAGCTACATGCAGAAATAAATGCTGTAATACATGTTATCGCCAAAATAACAAAATATCTCCTTCTTATATATAAATGCAGTACAGGTAAAAACTATACAGTCATATACAAAAGTTTGGGTACCCAAAGATTTTCAAAGTGAAATATGCACATATCTTCTACAGAGGACACTTCTACATGTTTTTTATGCACAAGCGAATTTAACACATTAGGGATAAAACGAAAACATAAAACGCAGAAAATAAACATAATTCGTGCACTTAAAGTCACAGAAAAATGATATATTTAAGTCTGCTTCCAGTAGATGACGTTTTATTATTTTTATTTAAATAACCAACAAAACTCATAATTTGACCAGTGGTGTTCAAACTTCCTTGGCTTACTCCATTTACAATCTGCAAAAGAACAGGCTCTGTGGGGTGCAGTATCTGAATGCTGTTTAGAACCAACAGCAGTCAAAATCACAAGTGCAAAATCAGCTACTGTTACTAATATTTGTGAAGTCCCACATTCACATATTCCATTGAGATGTAGCAGTAATAGTTCTATGACCAATTCTAAAATAAATCATTTTATTATTTTTTTTTAATTCAGTGATTATGAAAGCTGGTTCTTTATTGAGCTGTAAAAATCCAATATGACGAAAACTCTTACATGTAATTATTAAAATCACTAGTCATCAATACAGGAGAAATATTTGCAGCATTCAATAGGAGTTCAGCATGCCTGACCACAAGCTACAGAATTAGCATCAAAAGTTACAGTAAGAGGCAGGAGTGGCTCAGTGGTTTACATATTCACATTAAATACAGTAACATGTTAAAGAGAAAAGACTTAAAGCTCAGCTGATCTAAAGCGTCAGCAGAGCTCCAAAGTAATCTAACAATCATTTTACTCTAGTCCATTATAATCGACGTTATGTGTCCTAGGAAAGAAAGCTGAAATACAGCACATTCATTCACAGTTAATCATTAATGCATATTATAAAATATATACAAATGCCACTATTCAAGAGACTGTACTTCTAAGTGTGTTTTAATAAATTTTTGAACACGTTTTGTTAAAATTCCTCTAATCTGAATAAAGTTATTTTTAATTATTTTCTCAAAAAAGAAAAAAACAAAAAAAAAACTTACAATAACTCTCAACATCCTCTCAAGAGGAACTACATTAATAATAACCAAACCCAATTAAAACGTAAGATTATCTTTAAGGAACAAGGAAAAAAAAAAAGATAAGGAATGCATGGTTGAGTTTAAGGGTGTCTGGGTGCACCAACGAATACGCATGAAATGAATCAGCATGATGGAACTCTAAAAAAAGCACAAAAGAGTGGCTTCCTGGACATGAGTTAAGCAGGGTCATAGACTAAACTGTTATGTCAGTGGTGATTCACCATGAAACAACCTGGGTGTGAGAAACCGGTCCTTAGGCCTCAAGCATGATGAAGATGAGACATCACAAATACTCTAAGACTTGCTTAAAATATTAAAATGATATTTAAACTGGACTAATTTGAGTATCTCCAAGCTGGACAAAACCTGTCAAAGAATGACTCTTCCAGAAACCATCTAAATCTGCAGCCCCAGGCCCAAAGAAATTATTATGTAATCTTTTCATAGTAACTTTGCATTAAGGCTTTATTCCAGTGTATTAGAACACTATAAGGTCACTGGCACAAGAATCACAAAATTCCTTTTCTGTAGTTATCAGTACATATTTCTTGCATCTCTACGTATTTATTTTCTAGATTATTTTTATGCAGCATTTTTAAACTGCAGGCTACTTCACATCATGTGGGATGTGGTATGCTGTTTTCAACAGCTGCGAACAGTAGAAATGTTAAACCTTTTATTAACAGTGAAATGGTATAAACTGAGAGCTGGGCAATATGACAAAAATGCAATACGTTAGATGGTATCCCACAATATCTATTTTGTTTGACATCTGATATGTGGGAACTGAAACTAATGCCACATTTAAAAGATACTATCAAAAACCAACCAAATAAATCCAACTCAGTGTATTGAAAATTTCACACACTGACCTGTGTTATTATGTTCTCTTTATAATCAAACATATAGTTAAGAAGTTTTTACATGTCAATAATATCCATGATGTGATGAGAAAAGCATTCCGATATAAGTTATCACGATAACAATAAATAGTGTCATATTGCCCAGGCCTATATAAACCTACTCAAATGATGAAACATGTACTTCTAGGACTATGATAAGAAGGGAGACAATTCTCTCTGATTCCAGGAGGAATCCAGGGGGTTCCTTGATTTCTTTCTCCTGTACACAAAGACACAGAAAAATAGTAGTTGTTAGATTGTTATACATTGTTTAATAATTACATCTTGCTAATCTACACAGCCAAATCCAAAGTGCTAAATTAACATCTACACTCTTAGTGTAGGTGCAAAAAACTTCTTTTTTGTTTTGTGAACTGCCATAAATGAACCATGTTTATATTCCCAAAAATGTTTACACTGTTGTAAATGAGATGTGCATTTTTTTAAGTTTAAAGAACCTCTCCATAATGTTCAAATTCAAAAATCTAGGAAAAAAATCCTTTAATTGGGATAGAACCTTTACATTACATGAAGGCTGTTTAAACTTTTAAAAGGTTTGTCACACTCACAAAATCTCCTTTTCAAATATTCTTCTTTAGAGATCCAAAAGTGGTCCTTCTATGACATCACTCAAAGAACCCTTTGTGGTACCTTTTTAATTTTCTAAGAGTGTACAGTTTTTGTTTACAGGGGAATTCTACCAAATAAAAAAAAAAAATCTGCATAATTAAATAGTTATGATCCTTGGAAGCTTCAATGCTTCTAAAACATGAACATTACATGAAATGGGTATCAAAATATTTCCCTATTGATCAAGTCTATAATTCGTAGTTTTGAGATGAAGTTTTGACATTTTGTTAAACTACTCATGGCAGATGCAAAGTGTAATTAAGCAAAACAGTACCCAAAGAAAATGTACATGTTTTTTCCAGATTTTCCAGATTTAACTTACTAATATCAACATTATATTTAAAACTCAGAAGACACATGTAGGTTCACTGTAATTTTGGACAGTAAATTAAATGGCTATATTTGCATTGTAGGCATTGAGACATTGAGACCTCTGATTCCTATCACTTCTATTTTAAAGAAATCTGAGTTGGTAAGTTTCACTACAAATGAACCATTTCACATCAAAATATTCCAGATTACTTTGTTTACATCTCTACAAATGTATTATGCAAAAAATGTTAAAAATTAGTCAATTAGGTGGAATTAAAAATGGACACAAATAAAAATATAAGAATTAACTGGACACAACGAACTGTGAAGTCACCTTGAATTGATGAGTTAAAATTAACAGTTAACACTCTCTCTTACACCAATATGATTGGAAAAAAGTAGGATCAGTCACAAAACCATACAGGTAATTAGCCTTCATATTCTTCTCATGGGATAGGGTTTTTTGGTTCAATCAACAAATAAACGGAAAAAAGCTGGCTTGTTATTTTGCAGTCAACTAAAAGTAGCTTCTAGCCACCATTAGGTTGTCTGCAGGGGCATCTTTTACTCAACCCCATAAAATGCCAAGCTTATTACATACAAAGGCTTATACTTCAGTAACTACTGGGAGTTAAGTGCAAACTGGCGGAGCTATTCTTAGGTTATAGAAGTGTGTAATAAAACTTTCATCTGTTAAGGGGTTAACAGACACTATGTGCATGAGTTTTTCCCCATTAACCATTCTGTGCTTTGTCACTTACCTTTGCAAGTAAAACAGAACGACCATCAGAACCAATGACACCAGGTCAGTGGTGATCCATATAATTAGGTACGTACGATATTTCTGGGGGAATGAAATATTCATACACACAGGCACATACAGACACACACACACACACACACACACACACATATACACAGTTATAACATCCTCAAACTTAAATTCCAAAAAAGTTGTGACAGTATGCAAAATGGCAATAAAAACTAAAGGTGATGATTTGTAAATCCACTTTGATGTGCATTTAAATGAAAGCAGTACAAAGACAAGATATTTCATATTTTACTTTGTTATTGGAAATTGATGCCTGTAACACATTCCAAAGAAAAATAGAATAGGGGCAATTTAAGACTTAAAAACATCTCAGAGGTGATGCAATCATGCATGGGTGTAAAAAGCATCCAGGAAAGGCCTAGTCTTGAGAGATTGGTCAAGCCAAAAACACTTTGCCAAAACGTGCATCAACAAACAATCCAGCTTTAGGAATTTATGTTTTTCACCCTCTACAGTGCATAACACAACTAAAAGATTCAGGACACCTGGAGAAAGGCTGAAAACCACAACTGAATGCTCATGACCTTCAATAACTAAGACGGCACTGCATTAAAAACTGGCATGCTTCTGTGATGGATATCACCACAAGGGCTTGGGAATACCTCGACAAAACCTTTGACAACAAACACTGTTCATCGCTGCATGCACAAATGCAATTTAGGAGTGTACTATGCACAACAAAAGCCATATGTCAACAATGTTCAGGAATGCTGTTGACTTCTCTGGACTCTGCACATCTGAAATGGACTGATGCACAGCAGAAAGGTGTATTGTGATCAGAAGAGTCAACCAGATTGTATATGGAAATAATGGATGTCATAAGAAAAGGACCATGTAGATTGTTACCAAAGTTCAAAAGCAAAGGGCTGTCATGGTATGGGGGTGTATTTTTGCCCATGACATGGGTAACCTGAACTTGCTGCCTTCTAGACGACATCTTTTTCAGGGATGTCAATGCTTATTTTAACATGACAATGCCACAAAACATTTTGCATATTACAACAGTGTAGCCATGTATTCAGAGAGTGCATGTGCTAGACTGGTTTGTCTGCAGTCCAGACTTGTATGACACTAAAATGTGTGCCAAAAATGCTTTCAAAACTGTATCAACTGTGTTCTTCATTCTTTAAACGACTGACTGTTTGCATGAGTGTTGTTAGGTACATAAATTATATTTAGCATTTATTTACAAAAAAATCCAATAATGGTTATAAAGCAAAACATCAAATATTGTGTTTTTCTACTTTTTTTTTAATATATTACAGGTCAATTCAGTAATCACTGCTTTCTGTTTTCATTAGCATTTCACATACTGTTCCAGCTTTTTTGTAACTGAGGTTTGTAGAATCAGCATATTCTGACATAAGAACACAATAAGTATTGTACAGAATATATGTTTCCTGGGTTGGACGTATGATTCTATTAAAAAGCACCCATACAAATATTCATTTTTTACAAAAGTACACATTATCCTATAATATACTGTATATAATAGTAATTATATTACACAGTTATGTGAAGAGGTAAGTGCACCCCATGAAATGTTTTATCTTTTTGACATATGTGGACATGTCAGCATTTGATCTTCAGTTTAACAGTGTGCATAGATAAATGTTATGTAATAGAACAAAGACTATGAAAATTTGAATTTGAATAATTTATTTTTAAAAGATTAACTGAGATGTCATTTTTGTTTGTAGAAAAAGTAAGTACACCCCTGGCTTCAGTAACTGGTACTGCCCTCTTTGGCAGAAAAAAAATTATGTAGGCATTTCTTACAACTGTCTACCAGTTATAAGTTACCAGAGGGGCTTTTTGCATGCACGGGCAGCAAAATTCCCCCACAGCATTTCAATGGCATTCAGATCTGGGCTTTGACTAGGCCACTCCATAACCTTACATTTGTTCCTTTTGAGCCATTCCTTGGTGGATTTACTTGTATGTTTGGGATCATTATCCTGGAAGGTCCACTTCTTCAGCTTCAAATTTTTTTTACAGATAATCTCAACATCTCCTCAAGCACTATCTGGTATGAAAGAGAATTCATAGTCAATTCTATGATTGAAAGTTGGCCAGGCCCCGAGGCAGCAAAGCAGCCCCAAACCATAACATTTCCACCACCATGCTTTACAGTTGGTATGAGGTTCTCTTGATCAAATGGTGTCTTTGGTTTTTGTCAAACATGGCTTATGGTTCTGTGGCCAAATCTTTGTCTGCCCATAGCACATTGTTCCAGAAGTCCTGGTCCCTAGATATTTATTAGCAATGTTTAGTCTTGTCCAGATGTTCGTTTTAGAGAGCAAAGTCTTCTTCCTGGCACACCTTATACTTAGGTCAAATTTGTGGAGTGTTTTGTAATGGTAGATGCATGCACTTTTACATCAATAGTGGCAAGAGCTACCTGCAGATCCTGTGATGAAATTTTGGGGTTCTTAGAGACTTCTTATAGCATCTTACCGTCTGCTCTTGGGTTAAATTTGCTGGGATGGCCCGGCCTGGACATGTTGGCAGTGGTTTTAAATCATCTCCACTTACAGATAATTTTCTGGACAGTAGAATGACTGATTTTCAATATTTCGATATGTTCTTAAACCCCTTCCCAGATTCATAGGCATCTACAATTTTCTTTCTGAATGCATCAGAGAGCTCTTTTGACCTGGACACGATGATACCACAGACCAGATATCTGAGGTTTAAATAAGACAGGTTCCTACAAGATTTTCTCTAAAGTGTACTAATCACTAGTGCCTAATTGCACCTGATTTCAGTTGGTGTTTAAATTGTGATATATGTAGGGATGTACTTACATTTTCCACATAAAAATTGCATTACTCTTTATTTCAATTATAAAAAGGATGACAAAATGTTAATTTTAGGTTTCACTTGTTAACTTGTATCACCTTTATCTGTCAACACAGTTTAAATGAAGACTTGATATCCGTATCTCCAAACATGTTGGAAAAACTTTTCATTGGGTATACTCATTTCTTCACATGAATGTATGTCTCCTCAGACCTGCATATGTACAGATATTCACACATCTCTTAAGCTCCTTTCACATAGGCTCTTTATTATTCTTACTTAATCTTTATTCTATTTATTGTATATTTGTTTTATTTGTTCTTTGGTTAAATACTAGCCTGTGTGCTTGTCTGGTCTACTCAGTATTTTATATGTCACAGATGTGTGCACCAATCAAGACAAATTCCTTATATGTGTAACATAGTGAAAGAAAGTTACTGTGATTAATCTAAAAGTTTTGCATTATGTGTACTCCTCTTTAAACTTTAGAGGGTTTTCAGACTCACAGATTTAATTTACAAAAACAGTTCTTTAAAGAAATAGCCAACCATGAGTGGCTTCTCTATGGCATAGCTCCAAAAGAACTCCACTGGGTTACATTTAGAACCTTTATTTCTGAGAGCGCTGGCTCCTTCATCCTGCTCTAATGACTAATGCTCTAACTGACATTTAAATTGGTATGAATCTGAAAGCGAGACAAGCAAAAAGGAACTCACCAGATGCCAGTCAGGGTTAGACATGTCGCTGAGGACGTGGCAGGTGTTGGTGGTCACTGAGCTGGCCCCCGAGCACCACAGCAAAGAGAATAGCCAGCGTTCATTCACTACCCACAGGTTGACCGTCACATTTCTGCTAGTCAGGTTCCTGCATCATACATTCACAGACATGTGCGAACACATTTATCAGAGATATGCACAGAATTCAAACCAAGACTATTATGCAGTGTTCTCCAAATCCTCTCACCCCAGAGATCTAATGTCTGAGGGGTAGACAAGCTATTCTGTCAGGTATTCAAACATGTAATGACTTGTGTAATAAAAAATAAAGACCTACAGCGTTGTAAATTCAACGGAGTGTGCTCTCAAAACATTATGTTGTTCAAAGACAAAGCTCTTCATATCACAAAACGTGCAACAGGAACAATGTAATGTAGTTATTTGCTTTTGCAAAAGTGTGGAGTGTGGAGTTCCATACATCAGAGCAGCGCATTTTTGTTTTATATTGTATGAACCTATTTCCCCTCAGGGTGTAAGACTACACTACTTCTGGAGCCAATTTTCACAGAGCATTCATGTCTCTGCATGCCAGGCAGAGGGTGCAAAACCCTCTGATACACACCTGATGTCTTCAGTACTCAGGCTGCTGTATTTCACATTTAAAAAATTTCCGTTATTGTCTTTCATTGCAGACACATTTCTGTAGACCTGGCGGAACCCTTTAGCACGCATGTTAACATCTTCTCCACATGCTGAAGGCAGCCACCATATCTGTAAGAAATACAAGAGATACAAAATAATATACAACAAAATCTGCATCAGGCTTTCACATTCAAAATTAAGAAGTGAATCATTTAACTGCCGTAAGAAAGGCCTCTTCCTGATCAAATTTCAATGGCCCAATCACAAACCTGGCAGCAGGGCGTCATTTGTGTTGGGACAGTGTGTGAAGTATAAATAAAAGCATAAAGCAGTGATTTGTAAATCCTCTAATCTGTATTTAAACAAAAAAAACAGTGCAAAGATTTTTAATGTTTTACTTTATCAACCTATACGCTCATTCTGAAACTGTCTGCAACACATTCTAAAAAAGTTGTAAAAAGTTCAAAAAACATCTTAAACAGGTGATACAGTCATGCTTGGGTATACAAGGAGCATCCAGGACTAAGGCCTAATCCTTTATAAGTAATGATGGGTTGAGGTTTGCCAAAATGTGTCTGCAAATGGTCCAACAGTTTAAGAATGATGTTCTTGTGTTTTAAAACAACATGCAAAATGTCATCAAAAGATTCTGGGAATCTGAAGAAGGCAAGGCCAAAAATCATAATTGAATGCTTGTGACCTTTAATTCCTCAAACAGCACTGCTTTAAAATCTGACACACTTATACGATGGTTATCACCACACATATTTGTGAATACTTTGACAAATCATTGTCAATAAACACTGTTTGTCACTTTATCCATAAATCCATAAAATCCATAAAAAGCCTGTACTATGTAGAGTGGATGCCATGTGTCAACAACGTCCAGAAACACTGCCGATTTCTTTGGGCTTGAGCTCATCTAAAATCACTGCTTTCTGTTTTTATTAGCATTTCACATACTGCCCCAACTTTTTTAGAATTGAGGTTTGTAAACCTAAAGCCATTACCAGTGCCTAATGCACTGAATAGTCAAAAAGTCCTTTAATTTTTAGCTATAATAGCAACTGACACCCCTACTACAAAAACTAGCACAGATCAGCATAGCTAATCAGAACCAAAAACAGCAAATGTTGTGTTTTGGATGCTGGAATGCTGGTCACCCACCATGATCATGCTGGGTAACAAGCTAAATCCACTTAAAACCACTATAAACAAGTTTAGACTAGTATGGAATCGATGCTGCTTTAAGCTGTTTTTTCAGCAGGAACATCCATCAGCCAGTGTGCAATATGGCTGTACAGTAGTGTATAAAATCAATGAAAGTTAAATAGTGAAACAAAACTTCAAAAATTAGTCTAAGAATATTTCTAAACAAATTCAACCTACCAAATCATGTGAGATGCTAGAGTTCAGGATGGTTGTCACTGTGCAGTTGCAGTCATAATTGCCATTCTTTAAATCAAAGATGACAGAGATGTTGTGTTCTTTGGCGAGGTCTAAAAGTTCAGAAAGGGTCGGCACTGTCTGGTTACGAGCGTTTTCCTTCTCCTCCTCTGAAAGCAAGGATACTGACCAAAACGGATCTGTCTACATGAACAAAATAATTACTACCTGAAAATGTAGAATGAAACTCTAGGGTGTAGCACAAAAATCTTCACTCTCTGCTTTACCTTCAGAAACCATTCGCCTGCGTTTAAACTCTGCAGCTCTTCCAGTGTGAAGTCACTGCTAGAGTTGTTTGTACGATTTGGAAAAATAATATCCACATTTGTTGTCCTCTTTAGAAACTTCTTGCCATCGTCATGCATAAGAAAAGGCTTCTTGTCCTTGCTAAAGGGAGAGAGAGAGAGATATTATGCAGCAAAGCCAAACCCATTTATAGTATTTACAGTCACTTGCAAAAGTTTGGGCCCCTCTGGTCAAATTACACATTTTGTTGATTTTCTGAGTTAAAATAAGTTAACATATCCTCTACAAAGAATACACTGCTGCAGATTTAAGTGAACAATTACTGTTTATTTGAATTTATTCAAATATTGTAGAAACAAATAAAACACTAAATATGGTCTGTACAAAAGTAATGGCACATGTTTTTTTCTAATATGTTAAACTCAGCAAATAAATAGAAATTGTGAACTCATCTTTGCAAAAAAAATGCCATATTTATGTTTGTTCACAGCACAGGATATATAAACTCATTTACACGTAACAAGTCAATACATTTTTGCATAGTCTGTATTCACTTTACATAAAATAACCAAAAGTCTGAGAAAGGAGCTATATAAATAAAACATACTATTGCAATTATTATTATTATGATTATTATTATTATTATTATTATTATTATTATTATTATTATTAACAACATTACACTAAAAGATTTGACAAACCTGAGCTGGACATCTGTCTCAAAGGCTGTAACTTTGCACTCTGCACTTCTCCTAAATGACATCATGGTGTTCTCTGGAGCCAGCTGAACAAAGCATATCAACAACAGTTAAAAAGAGATCTAATATTGTTTCATGCTTGCCCTAAATATCGTAACTGACATAAAACCAGTCATCTGTCAAAACCTCCTTCAGACCTATTTCTGGACCAAACAGAACAAAGCGTATTACTGGTTGAGGAGTACATGTCTCAGTAATGATGATTATTGTTCTTATTGAGCTTACTAAATCTTAATCCCTCTGGTTCGTGCCTCATTTTAGCCTAAGAATTACATTGACAGCCGACAATCTGGGCAAAATGCCATATTGCATAAACAAAGTAACCGCAGGTGATTCATTGCGTGCTTCCTGTCAAACTGACAGTTTTAAAAGAAAGAAGCCACACTGTAACAATCGAGATGAAACAGAAGTATAGAAACACACTGATCCAAAGCATTGATTTTCAAGGTGGATGCAGGTGTAAAATGATAAGCTCCATGGAAAAACCTGACACCAAACAACAAATTTATCTTTCAGAAAAGTAGCACTTACCACAGGTGCACCTCGGTGTCCAACGAGGGCTGGTTTCGGGGGAAGTTTGTCAATGATGCATGGAGAATGAATTAATAGAGGACTGAGGAAAATTGCAACAGAAACTGCCAGTAATGCTCCAATAATGAGGGCTTTGGAAACTGTGCCAACAAAAAGAGAAAAAGTTGGCTTGTTTTTCAGTATCAATCAGTAAACAGTGCCCCCACAGTGATACCCACAAATGTACACACCTTTGTGCTTGTCTGTACTTGAGAAGGTGAAAAAGAAAATATGTGATATGTTGTTCTTTCTATTACATATTACACGGCATATATGTGACATAAAGCTAACAAAGAAATGGTCACTGAACTTAATTTTTCTAGATTTCAGCATAGTTAAAGTCATACACAAAAGTTTGAACACTCCCAGTCAAATGAAATGTTTTATTGATTTTCTAAGTGAAAAAATGAAAAACATAGAATAAATTTAAATATGGCATTTATCTGCAACTGTTAGTACACAAAATAAAATAAAACATAAGATATAAAATGTGCCATAACTTTTGCACAGGGCACATTATGTTTTATTTTTATAAGTTCAATTGAGCAAATGAAGGGTAAAGGTACAACTAAAATCTGCAGAAGTACATTCCCTGTAGAGGATGGATATTTACTTTCACTTGGAAAATTAAGAAAACATGTAATTTGATTGAGGTGTCAAAACTTTTGTAAATGACTGTATATTGTTAAGCTGTATAAAATGGGGTTTGATAAGAAATTCAGTGTCCTAGAGAAACTCATTAAATCAAATGATCATAGTGGTGGTGATAGGAAACAGACATTTGAAAAGTTTAATAATTTTAATAACTCCCTCACAGACAGTCGGAATCTACCGACTGATGCCTGAGACATTTTTTACAAGTGCTTGCCATAAAATGTTTTCTTACATTAATGTTGGAGAGGTACATGCATGGCATTGTAAGACAAAATAGTACCTAAAGAAAACATATTTTTTGGGATTTAAAACTATTTTACCCTTATCAATATTACATATGAAAACTCGAAGATGAGTGTAGGCAGTGGTTTTGGATAGTAAATAAAACGGCCACTCTGAATGACTAAATCACATTTTCCACATTTCCACTTTAAAATTGATCCACAAGACTGTTACAACATAAAATACATGGAAAACAAATTCTCTTTGCCTACAGCTTATTGCTCTGCCTGATGCCATCTGATAATAGGGACATGTTGACATATGTTACAGAGTAAGACAAGGCCAGTACTGACCAGCACTCTGAGTTCTGTGGTAACTCTGGAAGATGAGCCAGCTCAACATGGTCAAGGCCACCACCGCACCCAACTGCAGAAAAGGGGCCGTGGCCTGCGAGACATTGGAGATGACATAATACCATCTTCACTCATGCATAATATATCATCACTGTTGAGACACTTTCACAAACATTCTCCCAAAAATAGTGATATCCGAAATGGTAGGAAATCTATAAATCCATTCTGGCTCCACACCTGCAGGGACAAATGAATAGTGCTCCATTCCTCTTCCCATTTTGAACTTATTCCCGCTATACCGAACACGACTATAACCAGACCCAGAAAGAGCAACACCTACAGAGAAAGAAAGCACCATTCAGTAACCAAGCCTAAAAACATTTGGTGTTTCCCAACCCAATCCTCAAGGACCCCTAGGAGGTCCATATTTTTTTCTGTTATGTCTCCAAGAACAATCATAGACCTCCCAGATGTTGGGAAGAGGAATACAGAAACATGTGGCCTGATTTAGATTACGATTAATTGTCATATAAATAATTACAGTTAACAATTCTTGTCTTTTCTTCCTTGTTCAGTGTACTGAATTATTAAACTACAAACCTAAAGTTGCTGATTGGCCATTTTGGCTAATTAGCCATCTTGCTTCCCAATTATGTTTATTTAGAAGCTAACATCGGTTGTACTGTCAAAACAATGCACTACACCGTTCCGCATGCACACATGATTGGCATAAATGTCCGCAGTTAAACAGAAACAAGGAAAGCTTACTTTTTTTGAGAGGGACAAAAACAATCTTTTTTTGCATAAATGCTATAAATGTTAGAATTTTCCACATAGCTACAAATAAACAAACATCTCACTGATGACCTCAACATGTTAGAGCACCAAGTTAGAAGCAAAAGTTTTTGGGTTTTCTTTGAGTGAATGCATTTACTGTTTTCTTTTATTTACTCTTATTTGTCTCAAATAAATTTGCTTGTTGAATCATAAAATGATTGTGAAACACATATAAGTAATTGCAGTTATCTCATTTGCAATTTGTTGGTTATGTAATAATCATGGCAGGCCTATTTTGAGCTGCTTGGAGGTCCCCAAAGACTGATTTGGAAAACACCGCTACAGATAAAACAAATGACAAAATCAACATTAATAAGAAATTTATTAGGTCCAAATACACTGACGGTTAAAAACAACTGCTCACATTTGGAAACAGAGAATAGAGTGTTTAACAGTTTTAAGAAAATTTGATCATCAGTTGTTTTTTTTTTGTTTTTTTTTGTTAATGCATTTTGTTAATGCATGGTTGGCAATACAGCAGGAATATCACGATACCTGAAGAAATTTTCATGATATATGACATGCTACAGTATTTATTGTTTAACATCTGATAAGTTGGAATAGACACCAAGGAACCAGCAGTGCCCCATTTAAAAAAATATTACTGAAAACAATAAATACATAAATACTAATTCCAATTAAACAGGACAAATTATGGTCTTTGCAATGAAACATGAAGTTGGTCAGTGTTTTAAGTACTAATGATATCCACAGTTTGCTGAGAAAAGCATTTTATGACATAATGTAGCGTAATTCATTATCTTAATAATATATTGTCCCTTGGAATTATAAGGTTCTATCTGCGTTCTGAGCAGTTTTGAGATATTGAGGTTCAAAGATTTTGCATTCTAAATAGCAAAACTGATATGGGGAACAAGTCTGTGTCATACATGAAAATGGCAGACATTCGAAATGTATTCTAAATGTACAATATCAAAAGCCTATCAAATTTGTGAAAGATAGAACCTTCTAATCCTAAGAACTCACTTTCTGCTTGGAATTATAAGGTTCTATCTGACAAAACATGAAAAGAAGCAATGAATTTCAAAGATCACAAACAGGTTACTCAAAATCTGTTTTAAAAGATAAAATTAGTGTTGTTGCAGAGTGTCTACATTATCAGAACATTCAATTTAATGTCTTTTTATGACATTTTTATTAATTTATTTTTAAGACATTTACTTCTTGTTTTAGGACAAATCATATTTTTCTTATTCAAGAAGCATTGCTGTTTAAGTCTAAAGGTCAGTGCTAAATATTTTGTCCAGTGCAGAGGTCAGTTTTAGGTAGGAACCATTAGTTTAAGTGTCCTTTCACAGCAACCAGCTACTGTAACGAACTGTCCCAGCAAGTAAGTGTAGATGTCAGTCTAAAGGCAGTATAAGGTTTTGTTTTATATCAAGAATGTGATATTTTGGGAGAAAGAAGCTGGATGAATGAATTAAATGAATGTTTATGTGGTAATTAAGACCCCATAAATTCAAATGTTCACTATTTAATTAACTTTAAGGCTTAATATTTATAAACTCTAAGACAATAAGAGTTTTTAAACAACTGCAAGGAGTCAGGCAGAGTTTCAGCAACATGTTTATGTTTCACAGTTTTATAAACTTGGACATAAATATATATATATATATATATATATATATATATATATATATATATATATATATATATATATATATATACACATATGCCACCATACAACATGCCTGACTCAAGCTTTTATCTACATTCTGAAAGATACTGCTTTAGAAAATTTGAACACTGTATTAATATTAATCTGTTTCGTGGTAAGAAATGTGAAAATTGTACTGAAGTGCTCAATCCCTGCCACACTCTGGCCATCCAAAAGAAAAAATTCAATAAGCCTGACTGAGCATCAGTCATGCAAACTCATGCACTTCATGCCTTGATGACTCTCAAACAAAAGAAGGGATATGTGAGAAAAACTAAAGTACTAAATACTAGCATACAGCATAAAAAAGCATACAAACACTTACTCCTGGTTGTTATAACTTTTCTGATGGACATGAATGAATAAATAATAACTTGGAAAGCAAAAAATATACAAGACATAACTTGTATTCAGAGAGTGTCCCAAGACTACTTTTAAGCACTGTATTATTTGTTGAGTCATTCTCGGCACAGCAGTGACACACGGCTAAAAGTGGCTCTGTGGTCAGAAAATGTCCACTGATGAAGAGCTACAGCATGTGTCAAGCTCAAGTCCTAGTGGACTAAAACACTGCAGACTTCAGCAAACTGCCTTATTAAACAAACCTGAGTCAGCTCATTAACTAATTAGCAAGGCCTTCATGAACTGAATTCAGAGCATTAGACGATGATAAACGTTAATATCTGCAGCACTTTAGCCCGGAAGGTCCCCATGTTAGACATGCCTGAGCTAGGGGATAGTTAATATAAACTCTGCATCTGCAGATGCTACAGTCTACAGTCCCTTACTGTACACCTGCAAGGTGGAGTTACAGGGAAAGGGTTATCATCATATACCATGACCATATCAGTGTCACTGCTGTGCGGAGAATAGTCCACCAACCAAATAATATCTGGTCAACAGCGGTCTTGTGGTCAGACACCAACCAATGGTGAATGGGGTAGACAAGAATGATTGTATAAATTGTAATTGTATAAAAATCAGTAAAAGGGCATCGGCTGTTGCAAAATTTAGAGCGGTAAATAGACTTTATATTTCATGAGCTTCACTTTCACTTTTTCCTTCATAAAGATGGCAGCTTTTCTGTGAAAATTTTATAATGAATGAACCAACAGAAATGCTACAAAATTACTGCTTTGGAGATGTTTTCTTTTGGACAGTGTAGATATCATAGTTGTAACTGTCTCTAAAATACTAACTTTGTTTGGAAAAAGGTAAGCAAACAAACAAAAAAACCTGGAGTTACAAGGTTCTAATCTAACCTCAACAATATCTCTAAATGTTAAATGAATCAGATTATTTAATATGTAAGTGGGGTTGCAGTACCTTATGCAGCCAGTGTAAATCCAAAGGTTCTTTAATAGCAAACTGGAACAATGAAAAAAGCTGAAAGGAAAAAGGTCACATTTATTACAATAAATGGCCAATTTCTTGTGTCAATGAAAATACTGCACATATAAAACCTATCAGTCTATTTTTCATTCTCACCAATAGGAGAAGGCAGTATATGGCCACTACTGCAGACAAGATGATGATACACATGAACCAGTTCACCCACAGACTGAGCTCTTGAAAAGCTTTCCTGTTAAAGTGAGGTCATAAGAAACGACAAAATTACTATTTACCAGTCAGTGTGATCAAACATTTTCCCGAATAGACACCGTATACCATTTTTATTTTCTTAAATCACTTCTGTAAAGTGTTTTTTATAAAATGTGCCTCACCAGTTGAGATCACTGTGGTCATTATAAGCGATAAAACAGATGTACATCCATCCCAGCGTCAAAACAGACACCAGAGAGAGGCAGGAGAACCAGCAGCATGGGCACTAGGATGAGGGAGAACAAAGAAAGTACAAGTTTCAACATGTCATTTACTTTCGCTTGTGATAATCACTCAGGTCAAACTGGTAGTCTTTAATCCCCTGCATAAACAGATGTGTCAGGCTGTCATCACGTGCTATGCAGATATTTTCCTGCCAGTAATTTGTCAGAATTGGCAAAACACTGTGGCCTGATAAAGTTTATTAGCTTGTAGTGTTAATGGCGTGGCGTAATTTACCTAACATTCTTTTGAAACACTTATTGAACAATGCTGTCACATATGTAATTGATTTATCTCTGTTTTGTAAATATTTTTTTTTGAATGTCATGAAGAATTCTGAAAAGTGGTTACTTCCAGGTCCACCGTTTAAAGCAATGTTTTCATGGTGACTTTGACCATGATATACATCTCAAGGTCAAATAACTATATTAGCTTAAAACTCACAGTAACAGAGATTAAAAATATTTATCTATAGGATGAGATGGCCAGCATTTTAACTACTGCAATTTTTTAATATTTTATGTTAGTGCCAGTGGGCTTATGGTGTATGTGAGCTAACTGTGGGCTAAAAAATATTGGTCTATTAAAGCATGGTTTGATTTAGAGGTTTGCAATATGATATTTTAGCACTACTGTGATTAATTTTGTTATGGTGATAAAAATATGCTTTTCTGAGCATGGATATCACCCGTACCTGACCACTGACCAACCGCACTTTTCATGAAAAGATAGCAAAATTTGTGCTGTTTAACTGGATTTTGTGTGGTACCGTAAACAAAACATTCAATAAAAATCACTGTCCCCAGAGTTTTTGAAGGCTGTTTTTAAATGTGGCTGTACTAGTGCACTGTGTATCAAAGTATGGTGGTACGTATTGTGCATTGTGAAAAGGTCTTTAAATATTGTATGATATTTTTGCCATATTGCCCACCTCTAGTATAGTTTAGCACATAGTTTACAATAATTACAAATCATTCCAATCGGATAATTTGATGGTTGTCAGTTTACTAGTTACTGGCTGAACTTTTCAATACCACCAACAGCACACCTGTGAGAAATGCTTTTAGAGCCAAGTTGCTTCAGTCATGCAAAAACATTACACCTTCCCCCAGGGCAAACTCATAAATGAGAAAGCGACCCTGAAGTACATTTTTCTGAGAAAAAAAATAACCACAAAACCCCCTTAGCCTTTTTTGAGTGCTTAGTTCAACAAACAATCCTTGTTTTGCCTCCGTATGCGAGAGTGTAAACTGATGTAAATGCCATAGTTGAGTCTGCGAGGCCATTGGAGCCATGCCACCGTCTCCTCATGTTGAGTTTCGCCTGATCATGAATGACAGAATAATGAGACGTGCATGATGCTTTAAAGCATGGTATCAAACTAGCTCCAGCGCTGAGAGCTATTAAAAGAGACCAAATTAGTCCATTCACATGGCCAGGAGCCTCATAAACTAAGTTTTAGAAATCTCTGAATACATTCCTAATTAGTCCCAATATACACAAAAGATTCTCCCTGCTCCAGTAATCAGACTTCCAATTAACATACTTTTCAATACAACTAAACCATCCACCCAAGAACATATTTAGTGAAGCACACAGTTAGGTGATAAGTGTTCATTAAGCAACATTTCAGAATTCTGCTCTACAATCAATCGGCAATACTTCCTATTTGGTTAACAGAGAATATTAATTTTCTCACAAAGGGAAGGCCTTAGTCTGTCTGCATAGAAGATTCTAGACACTGGAAAGCCCCTGGTTTCAAAGACAGGCCTGTATGTACTTACTGACCCAGTGAGAGGGGCAAGTTGACCATGATAGGTAGAGCAGACTGGTAAAACCAGTTGAAAACCTGGAAAAGGAGTGAGCTCATCTTTTGAGAACTTAGACTTAAAACAGTTATTAGTATAAATGTTTAGCTGGTATTAAAAGATTTCTTTTTATTCATAATATTATGTTGGAGGCCTGGGGTTCAAGGGGATAGCCCTTGGTCCAGACAATCTAATGGTTTCTGACTATTACTCAACACCCAATTTAGTTTGCTTTTCTGTGAAAGTAAAACTGAACAGGACAGCAAAACAAAAAAGGTTAACTACAAGCAGTCAATTAGTATGTAATTAGTGTCAGTACAGTGATTATGATCCAGAGTAGAAAGATATTTAGAGCAGAATAGATGGAACTGTCAAATGGATGCTCACTCTTTGATTGTTGTCCCTTGAATGCGTCCAGTAGCAACTGTAGACCCCTCTGAAGCAAATTCGGAAGATGCTTTCCTGTGAACGCATTGCGTTGTCTTCACAGCAAGATAAGACACATTCACAGAAAATGTAGACCTGGATTTCCGCGTGTGTAGATGTCCGTGTAATAGCTCAGATCTGCAGAGGGTTGAGAGATACGCGGGGTGAGTTAAACCTGTTCTTCAGTTAGACCCCAAAACATCCAGCCTCCCCCCACAAACTCACTGTCTTCAAATTGTGATTCCTTGGAGGTCTGTCAAGCCAGAACTGGTTGGTTGTTCGTTGTTGTGAATGGATGCATGAAAGGATGAATGGATGACTGGGTGAATGATTCCATTGATAGACAAGCAGGTGAGTAGATAGAATAGATAGATACAAAAATTGTACTCTATAATATATATACGCATACATATATATACACACACACATATATATATATATATATATATATATATACATACACACACACATACACACACACACACACACACACACACATATATATATATATATATGTGGCCCCAAATGGAGCTTTTAAATAATTAAAACTAGTCAATGAAAGAGATAGTTATCAACAAAGACTGTGGAGGCTTTTCCCCTATAAGATGCCATAATGTCTATAGAAAAGCACTGTCAACAGAATGAAACCCCCTGAAGCAGCCACACACAAGCTGAGGTCTCCATGCACGCATGGCTGCAATTAAATCCTCAATGCAATGTTCCAACATCTAGTGTAAAGCTATTTTAGAAGAGTAGCGGCTGTCATTGCAGCAAAGATTACAGAAATAAATACTGGATGAGTAGGTGTCTACAAACCTTTGGACTTGTAGTCTTTCTCTATCATACAGTATATCACTACAAACCAAATACATTTTTTGTTAATGTAAATAAAACATGCACAGCGCTGATTTTTAGAAAATTGTAAAATATTTCCAAAACTTAAAAATCCATACTTTGGTTTGTTGTGTACATACATAATACACACATAAATAAATTAATAGAAAGATTACTGAGATCCAAAATGAGCACAATACCCAAGCCAAATAAAACTCTGTCCCCCCTTAACACAGCCAAACGAAATATAGTTTCTCCAGAACATTTTGCTCGATTTTATTTTTTGTCAAGTGAAATGAAGTGTATCCCATATAAAGTTGCAGTAGGTAACCCAATCCCAAATATTACAGACCTAGGGCTGAGTGACATGGATGAAGACCCACAGTGACTTGGATAGCGTTGCAAAATGCAAAATGTCCATCATAACTTCACAGATACAAAAAGCCTTTGATGGTGTCAACTCCATATTCCAAAAAGCAGGGCTCGATTTGAGAAGAGGGAAGTCCTCTTGTCAAAAAATGACAAAAATCACCAGCCTTGTAAAAGTCATCTCCCCTTTCCATCTCCTTTTAACTAATGGAGTGATTTTATCATTTAAGGTTACTTATGTCTTTTATTGATATTTTAACTCAATCCATTTTTGAGGTTAACATACCAGTCTGTCCCAGATCTTAGGAAGCTCTTCAGGTCAAGTCATAATATTACAATCAGGGCAAAGCACTCACATACTAAAGAGGTGTATATGTAGAAATAAATGTTTTACTTTAGTTGTTTGAATCCACCATCCGACTTGAAATCTTTCATAATTCAACCACTATTAATAAGGGTTGCTCCTGGTACATTACCCTGTAATGTGTTACCCAATGGCTCATTGGTGTGCATTTTATGTGGTAACAAGACCCCTTTTGCTCTCTGTGGGCTTTCCCATCCTTTTGATGAAGTATGCACTGAGGATATGCTGTTCCTGTTTCAAAAGCTGTTTTTTCTCTGGATCACCTAAAAGCTGCAACTCATGATAGGACTGGCAAGTCTAAGCAGGTTAATAAAAAATATGTTCTCTGAAGCTCAGCTAATAATCTATAAGCAGGCTACACGCAAGCCGGCTACACGCTCTAAGAAACAAATCCAAAATCACAAAATGACAGTGGCATGAAAGTGTGTAAGAAAAGGAAACATGAGGAAAATGTTCTGTGGCTCAGCTATTAAAGCTAACAACAGGAACGTGTATGCATGCCTCTGTATAGATCTCATTTGATTAGAGTAGGAGCAATGCAAAACAGTAACTGATTCAAACAAGCTGTGAAATTTCTGCACACCAAGCCAAAGCTAGTTAGATTACATGGTGAACATTCAAAGAAAGTGCATGAGTACTGAGTACTGACTACAAGAAGCATTCACAGCTCTCTTTCATGTGCACAGTCAATACAACTCAAAGCACTCAACCAAAAGAAGACATAAATCAGCCACAAGTCTCAATACTTACCTTAAATGATGGGTTTGACATCAAACATGTCATCAATTCCAGCATTGACAAAACTCCTATTCTCAAAATACTTATATTTTGATCCCATTGTCCTGGACTGGCACTATCATGAATTTAGAGCAATAATTATTGTTATAAAACTAAAACTAAAACAGTTTTAAAGCTAAAACTGTCACCATCAGATACACAGTACTTTCATCTTTGAGAGACAAGAGAAAATCAAGTACTCACCGCAGAGTCCAGACCTCAACATCATTGAACGCATTTGGGTTTATTTGGATCATGAGAAGCAGAAAAGACTGAACTTTGGACGTGTTGAAAAATATCCCTGCAGATTTCAGCAAATCTGAAATATTGTAAGCTATAAAAGACAAAGGGTGGACACTTAAGACAAAATTGATGTATTTTGTTGTTGAGACTTCTGTGTAACATTTTGCTAAATTTGTTTTCTGCTTTTTTTCCTGAAAGCGCAAAACAAACTGAATTAACTTGTATTTAATGGCCCTTTTGACTGGAAATTAAATAAATGAAGGATGTTCTCTGATATTTGCACAGCAATGTATGTGGGCAGGCAGTCTTGTAACAAATTAAACTGCCAGATTTTTAGACGTATCTACTTATAATACTGGTGAACCTGGCTATATTTTTAGTATGCTGAGAGTGACACACCTTGTTCTTCAATAAAGTCATAAGTACACAGAGCTCTTCAAGATAAGTAAGATCAAAAGGTCAGAAGAGAAGTGAAACTAATGGACTCTGGACTATAAACGCAAATTAAATCAAGGGAGGATAGGCTACTTTATGGACGTGTTACAGACTATGTTGCAGACTATGGATATGCATACAATTGCAAAATACCACACTGTAATAATATTGCTACGTAGTGTAGCTGTTACATGCCTTGCAATCTATTAAAAACACAACAGTAAATCAAAAAGTTTATTGCATATTTCGCAATGTTTATGATTAACATTTTTTGGATTATGTAAATCCAATTTGATTCAACAAAGTCCCCAAACAACACTCATCTGAAACATCTAAGCCTTGCCAGGATGCCCACAGCACATAACACGTCAGGATTTGTTAGAGTATTCATTTGCGTATTGCAGCCGGCATATCTGAGGTAGTAATGCAAAGGTCAATATTGTGCTAACAATTCATCACACCACGACACAGAGAAAGCCAATGTTTCTGATTATGATATACAATAAAGACAGATATTAGGCACATTCTACTGTAAATTTCCATTTCATAATCTTTCTATCAAGAACCTGTTGATCTGCAAAGAACAACTGACAGAGGAAAGTTACCTTCACACACCCATTCATTTAAATGCCAATGTGGAACTGAACTTGTCAACTGAAATCATCAGATCATTCAAGATAAGAGATTGCTTTGTGTACATTGAGCAGAATTCCGATATGATTACAGAAAAGTATTTTGTGCTCTACTAGCTCTGGTATGTAGTGAAACTACTGAGTCTTGTTAATAAGAGTCTATTGAGACACTATGGAGACTACTGAATTCAACAGCAAAAAGACCAGTGAAACTCAATTCATGAGAACTTTGCTCATGAGAGGACAATTCTGGATAACCATGGTCCTTGACAGGAGAAAACTATGAAGTACTTTTTTTTAGATTCTTAGTCTGTTCATTTTTTTCTGTCTTCTGTCAAGTTGATCTATTGTGGTAGCCACAGTTGTCACAAATGTCACTCGTCACACAACACATCTTATTGTGCAATATGTAAACAAACTGTGGGAATGTACAACTGTGTGAAAATGGCAAGAACAGCAGGAAGTATTAATGTTAATGACCCTGCTTCATAAACAACAAGAAATATGCAACAAAAAAATCTTGAGGTGATCTCGGAAAGAAAGTGAAGAATAAACCAGTAAGTTACTCAGCACTGAAACTTTCAAAAACTTCTAGTTTTTTGCTGATCACACTAAACAGTGTAAAGAATCTTGGTCACTGGAATGAATTTGAACGACTGCCACCTACTGTGCTGTGAAAAACTATTTGCCCCTGCCTGATTTTCTTGATTTGTCACTCTTACTTGTTTCAGATCTTCAAACAACGTTAACAAACAACAAAGACAACCCAAGTACACACAAAATACATTTTTTGAATGACCATTTAATTTATTGAAGGAAAAAGTACCAACAACCAACAGACTCTATATGTGAAAAGGTTACTGTCCCCATATCAACCAGTTAACCAAATTTAGTTGACATCTGGGATCAATTAAACTACACACATTCAGGCTTGATTTCTGCCAGTCCTGTTAAACCTAAACATGTCTTAAATAGAACCTTTCCTGCAAAATGAAGTGTGCTAAAAGGTTTCAACAAGCAGCACAAAATGCTACAATCAAAAGAAATTCCAGAAGAGATAAGAATAAAAATAATTTAAATGTATCAGTCCCAGAGGGGTTACAAAGCCATTTTTAAGGCTGTGGGCTTCTAAGAAACCACTATGAGGGCCATTATGGAGATGATGTGAAACAGTGGTGAACTTTCCCAGAGGTGGCTACCCTACCAAATTCATCCAAGAGCACAGCAACGCAGAGGTCACAAAAGAACACAGACGAAAATCTAAAAAGCTGCAAGCCTCACTCAGGTCAGCATTTGTGATTTCACCATTAGAAAGAGACTGGGCAAAACAGTACCAATGGGAGAGCTTCAAGGCAAAAAGCAAACGAAAGTAGAACTTTTTGAAAGACAGGGGTCTCCTGTCATGGTGGTGGTAGTGTAATGTTCTGGGATGCTGTGCTGCTTAAGGGTCTGGACTGAGCTAAGATTACTTAGCAAGACAATGATTCAAAGAGCAAGTCCACCTCTGAATACTTCAAAAGAAACAAAATGAAGGTTTGAGTGGTGTAGTCAAAGTCCTGAATTGAGATGACGTGGCATGACCTTAAACGGGCCCTGACTGAATTACAGCAATTCTGCAAAGAGGGCAAAAATCCAGTGATGTAAAATTCTGATCTCCAGTTATAGGAAGAATTTGGATGCAGTTGTTTCTGCTTAAGGTGCCACTTCCATGTATTTAGTTTAGGGGGTAATTATTTTTTTACATGGGCGACATAGATGTTTCAAAACCCTCTTCCTTTAATGAATGCAATGACGACTTAGAAACTGTGGACAAATACGGGAAATCAGGAGGAGTCAAATGCTTTTTCACAGCATTGTATGAAAAGAATGCCTTTTATTACTATGCATCCATGAAATTTCAGTACCGTAAAACTGGGCTAAATTGTCCAGCATGCACTGACCCAGGCTTCATAGCTTCTTTAATCCTAGAGTCACATGGTGGCCACGTGTCGTGGGCAATGTCACCCCAAGCACTGCAGAACAGAAGATTTTCCCAGCCTTAGGAATATTATGGCTGTGTCCAAATAGTCAAAAAACGTTTTCCCTATTTGCTGATTTTGTCAGTTAAAACAGTCATTAAGTACAAGTTATTCATTTTTTTAGCATCAGAAAAAAGCAGAAAAGACATTTTTAACAGAAAATCAACAGAAGCCACAAGAACTAAATATAACTATGAACAGTATTTGGTGTGTCCACCTTCGCCCCTTTATACAGCTTTCATGCTTGCTTTTGGTTTTTCAAACCTCTAAAGTTCATTCTTGGATGTTTGTTGCATTTTTTGCTTCATATGATCAAAGTAATCTCATTTACATATTTAGACTTACCAGTCCATAAAATTGTACTCCACATCTCAGACGTCCAGTTTCAGTGTTCTAGAACAATTTTTCCTTCCTTTTTGTCTATTTCTTTTTCTCAATAACAGCTTCTTGCAAGCTACACATCCTTTCAGACCCATAGTGTTGAGTTATTTTCTCACAGTGGAAGGATGGACAGATTTTTTTAGATTACAAGATTTCTCTCAAAGTCCTGTTTGTTGACAGTATTGGTGGTCTACTAGGTCAACCACAGTTTGTTAAGAGTTACATTTTCTATATATCTTTTACTTCTTTTTTAGTCCAGTTTTAGAAACTTATTTTCATGTATTTTCTCCTTCCTCATGCAAGTTTGTTATCTTATATCTAATCTCCTCAGAAATATCTCCTGAAAAATGAATAACTTGAACGTAATGGCTATTTTCAATGGAAATTTAATAAATGAAGCATGGATTCTGACTTTTGCACAGTACTTTACAGTAAGTTCCTTGGATCTATTTTCAGATCTATATTGATCAGTTTGTTTATATTTGTCCTAAAATAACTGTCATTTTAATGAAAGAATGAGACACAAGGATCATAAAGTTTCCCTATGAAGACCTTAAAGGGCCCATATCATGAGAAAACCAATTTCCCTCCCACAAATGACAAATGTTGGAGTTTTGATATTTGTTCAATATAAAAATATAATTAATGCATTGCACATTAAGCTCAGTTATCATTATAAGTGTTATCACATTGCAAATATATTACATGATACTAGCTTTAAGAATGAATTAATTAATTTACATATTCATATTTTTCCAAATACCAGCCTGTCCACATAATGAGCCTGTAATAATGGATATTGAGGAGATGAGGAACATGGCATTGAAGCTAGGGTGCTGCAACTGTGTGCAGAGCAACTGTGTAGAATTCCTTAGTACATCTTTAATTTGAGCTGCAGCCTAAAAGAGTCCCAGTTATGTGGAAAACATCTTGTGAGGTTCCTGTCCCCAAGAAAAGGCAACCGACAGCACTAAATTACTATTGACCTGTTGCATTAACATCCCACTTAATGAAGACACTTGAAAGTCTGATGCTAGCTCATCTGAGATCTCTGGTCAGAACAGCTCTTGACCCTCTGCAGTTTGCATATCATGACGGCACTGGAGTGGATGATATGGTTATCTATCTGCTGGACAGAACATACTCTCACTTGGACACATCAGGCAGCACTGTGAGGATCATGTTCTTTGATTTCTCCAGAGCATTCAACACCATACAGCCTGTGATGTTAGGGGAGAAGCTATGGCTGATACAAGTGGATGAATCTATCATCTTATGGACAATGAACTATCTAACTGGACAACCTCAGTATGTATGATTGCAGAGCTGTATCTCAGGCAAGGCAGTGTGCAGTGTTAGGGCACCCCAGGGGACTGTATTACCCCTTTTCCTTTTCAACCTGTACACCTCTGACTTCAGGTACAACACAGTCATGTCATCTGAAAAAATTGTCTGATGACACGGCTATTGTGGAATCAGAAATGGAAAGGAGGAGGACTACAGGAAGCTGGCAAAGGTCTTCGTTAGCAAGCATAAGTTGAACCAGCTGCAGCCAAACATCAGTAAGACTTGAGAAGTCCAAACCTGCCTTGTAGCAGATGTGGAGGTGGTAGGGACATAGTATCTGGGTGTGCACCTGGACAACTAACTGGACTAGAACTGTAGCACTCACACTGTGTACAAAAAAGGCCAGGAGGCTGAGGTATTTTGGTGTGTGCTCACCTATAGACATTCTACCAGTCTGTTGCAGCGAGTGTTTTATTCTACACTCTTTTGTGCTGGGGCAACAGCATTAACAAAGGTGCTCTGAACAAATTAAACAAAATTATTAGGAAGACTGTCTCTGTTGTAGGAGTCAAGCTGGACCCTCTGGAGGTTGTGGCAGAACAAAAGCACGCTCAACAAGCTGCTACTCATCTTGGGCATTACCTCACAGTCCCTGCATAGTGCAATGGATAAACAGAGAAGTACCTTCACTGCACTGTGTTAAAGAGCACCATATAATATTTCTCTTATCCCCTGCTATAACGCTCTACCACAAGTCTCGTTACTGCAGAGATTGTACTGATCTGCTGCCTGAAATGTGTTGAATCACATCATTATATCACCTCTCTTGTTAATACACTGTGCAGTACATCATAATATGCTACTGTAATGACACTTTCACTATGTACTTTAGACTGTATGTACTGCTGCTGCTCCTAAATTATCATTATACTCATTGTGTTTTAACTACCTCATACCATTTAGTGCAATACCTGCTCTCACGGAAATGCAACAAATATCTTATATACATATGTAAATATGCTAATAGTTATCCTTTTATTCCCATTCCCTCATATTTTCCTCTAATTTATGTCTATTTTTAATTTAATTTTTTTCTGCCTATATGCAAGCTTGTGAGCAATTATATGTCTTGCTACTGTAACGCTGCGATTTCCTAAGGGATCAATGAAGCTCTATCTATCTATCTATCTATCTATCTATCTATCTATCTAATAAGGACTTGCGAAATAACGTTCTTTTTTTCCAAGAGCCTGGATAAATAAATGTACTGACATTGCAAAAAGCAGTGGCCGTGATAACAAACTAACAACTAAGCACCGCCTCATTGTTTCTCTATGGTGAACCTGCCTTAAGCGTGCGACCAATCAGGAGGCGATACTGGCACATATCTATAATTAATCTACAGATGATCTATCAAAATGCATATCGCGCAGAGAATTGGGTCAGTGGAGTTAAAATAAACAATTTAACTTGGGACTTTCTCTGCACAATTTTTAAGTACTCTTTGTTATAACTAAGCACATTCATTAAACGACTTTGAGTGGACTGGTGGCTGAAAACTGTAATCACACAAGAGTGACATTGCCTTGCCCTGTGAATCAGCTGTTCCACATCTAACATCATGTCTCATATCAGTTTCGAAATCAGTTGTATAGTACATATATACATATATATGTATACAGGGAGTGCTTGTCATGACACAGATCAGTGACAGTAAGAGAAGTGATCGATTCACTGAAATCACAGGTTTCACTTTCTTATTCACGCCATCTTACATAAATTATAGATCAGGCTGATGACCTTACCTTAGGAAGCCTGCAGTCTTGATTTGACTGATTAACCGGTTACCTATGCAATACGAGAAGTTACTGCCGCTGGGAGGAAGAAAATGGGCCAGCGGAATTTCTTCCACACCTGAAGATCTAACCTTCTAACGGCTGTAAACATCAGGTGATGATCATATTTGATAAGAGGTGCATCAATCAGCTCACTTTTCTTACATTTTCCAACCTTGGAAATGCACCATGCGCACTTGGCTTAATAAAATGGTTTCATAAACAAGAAATATTTAAAAACTACAGATATTAAACAGAACGTCATCTCTGAGATGTACTCCGAGGTGTTAGATAGTTATGGACCAAAGAACAGATTAAGAACACTGATCAAAGATCAGGTACGTGGTCGGTTTATGTTGTTATGTTCGGTTTCAGCTGATTCCAGATCACCATTCTTACTCTGAGGGTTTAATACATATTGAATTTCGACTCAGACACTTTTTGTAGTAGTTAACCATGAAAAATAAACTATCGCTTACCTTAGCATGACAACTTACAAGAGCCATCCAAGTCCCAAATGTTCAGAGCAAACAAGTGGGCTCCTCTCTCACAGCAGACCTCTCTTTCTCTCTGTCTCTCTCTCTCTTTCCCACGTTGTAGATGCAGTTGAGAATGTCGGGATTCGAATGCTAATGACGCCGATCAATGTAGGACTCCACTCCACACAGCGGGGGAGGCGGGGGAGGGGCGACCACTATAACCTCTCGGCTGCTACAAGCTTTCATTCACATTTCTTTATAAACCTGGTGAACCGTCTGTACTAAGCTGCACGAGATGTGCTAAGATGCAAGCGGTAAACTAACTAATTTCAGATAAAAGTTTCAGCAGAGAGAAATTGTACAAGCCATTATCAAACAATCTGACATGAAACAGGTTTGGAGTTGAGAACCACTCTAACAAGTTTCTCTCAGCCGGTATCAGGAGATAATAAAATAATGATGTGGGGGAAGTCGAAATAGTCTACAAATGTGAGTTATACGGCGAATCTGTGATTAAATCAGCATAATAACTCCAATTTACGGTTGTGATGTCAGTGTAGAGGACAATCTGGAGTAGTTAGTAGTGTTAACTGGTGGGAAGTTCGATTCTTATAGAACCGATTCTTTCGAACTTTCCAACTCGATGAATCGATCGGCCGATTCAACGATTCCTTGATTCACGAGTCAAGTGGATCTCATTCTGAAATCCTTCCTATAAAACAGGATCTCCGGTCCTGAAGGGTCAGTGTCCTGCACAGTTTGCTGATTTACTTATTTAAACAAACTTGATTATACTCATCAATTAATTGCCACGTTTAATGGGTGTGTTTGAATAGGGAAATCCCCTGTGCACCCCTGCTATAATATAGCACTAAATTCAGTGAGTTCACCCCATTGTGTGACTTTGATATCCACTAAGTTACTTACGCTGTCAGATAAAAGGGTACTGTACAACTGTAAGTTACAGTGTGGCCCTTAATGTTCAATTGTGTTAAAAGTACACTACATTCATTTTCTTTTCCAGAGGAGATGGTATATATTTGTATCTCTTCATAAAATTTTTGAAAAATAAAATAAAAAGTATGGAGTTAAGTCAGTATAATTAATTTAAAAAAAAAAGAATAATTGCAACAGAATGTGATATACTTCTGTGCTCTAACAGAAGGTACTAAAGAGAGACTCTTGAGGGTGACATCACAACACAAAAAAAAAGTATCGGCCTGTAATATGGACCTAAACATTGTATAGATGTTACAAACAGTTTGATTCAGCTGAACTGGGACGTGAATTGAATGAAGTAGTTTGTTGACAAGAATCATTCAAAAGAACGTTTCGTTCACGAGTCGGACACCTTTAATGTCAACATGAAGAAGTATTCACTTTGATAGCAATTGCCTGAAGTTCAACTGCGCTACTGTGTGGTAGTACATTTTAAAGTGTTTGCTCTTTGGTAAGGTTTAAATTACTCATATGTATATATATATATATATAGGTCAGGACTTATGAATATGAATTGCTAATTTACATACACCTTTTGTGATGGGTAACATGTTTGCTCTTTGGTAAATGTGGATTTTTAAAAATTATGAAAAGAAAACATGGAAAAAAAAGGTTTATATTACTCAGTGGTATAGCTGGTTTTGCTGTTTAGCTTTGTGTTCATTCATAAAAATTCTACAACTTTGATGATGTACACAGAGTAATCTGTAGCTGTTTAGCGACATCTGGTGTCTACAGAAGTATATTTTTTTATGTTTCTAAAATGATGTTAATCGGCACTATAGTGTTTTTCCTCTATTTTTGTTGTGCCCTCATTTTACGTTGGAGAATTGTTGCTGCTTGACATTTTATGATACAATAAAGAGAGAAAGAAAGAAATATCAACGCGTTAGCCAGCATTACCTAAATGTTATGATATTTGATGACTTTGGGGTGAGGACTTTTATTTCATGAAAAAATTCCAGCAGCAGAGCGCTTTTAGTTTTCTAATACAGCTTATTTGTCCACAGTGTCATTTCTGTGAAGGGTCATTTATTATTCTGAGCTGATTATGAATTAGAAATAAAATACAATCATCGCATTTACGGCATGTAATCACAAAGAATAACAGCGTGTTTCTCTCATAGCGGACACAGTTCCTGTACAGATGAATGATTGTGAGATTAGTACTTTTTAAAACTTTGATGAAAAATCTCGCATGGAAATTAAAGATTGAACTTGAAGCTCATAGTGATTGCTGTGTTTCCCTGTAGGATTTGTACTGGTGCATGATTTATTCTAAAATGAATGAGGTGCAGTGATTTCATTGTGACACTGGGGGGCAATGGTGAGCACGTGTAGATACATGAAGGATCCAAAGAAGCGCAGGCGAATATCAGCGAGGCCGCTCAGGGTTTTTTTTTTTTTTTTTTTTTTTTTTTTCCATGAATTTATTTATTTGTTGTAGTCTAGCACTTTAGAAGAAACTCAGTGGAATGTTTTCTTGCTCAAACTGTGGAAAGAAACCTGTAAATGATAAGAAACCTCTGGACATTCTTTCAGGTGCTGCATAAAGTCAGTGGTGCTCTAGGAGGCCTTTGAGACAGATTTTAAGTTTGAACTGAACAAAAGCTGTTATATTCCTATCCCGCTCTTTATTTTATAAACCAGTCCTAGAACTTTGGTTCTGTGGTTTACACACTGCGACGACATTGGAGGGGGCACTTTTATTTTGATAAAACACATCGGTCAGTCAGCGGTCTGTGTTGCTGTTCCAGCAGCAGAGCGCTTTGAGTTTTCTAATAGTCTCTAAATGACACGCTGCTCTTGGTTCAGCATTATAAATAGCCTCATCCAGAGCGTCTGTATCGCTTACGGCCATACCACCCTGAGAACGCCCGATCTCGTCTGATCTCGGAAGCTAAGCAGGGTCGGGCCTGGTTAGTACTTGGATGGGAGACCGCCTGGGAATACCAGGTGCTGTAAGCTTTTTCACACTGAAGCACACACTTTCCAGTTTTTTTCTTCTTTTACTCTTATTTTCTTTCGTTTCTTTTGTTTTTTTTTTTTTGTTTTTTTTCTTTCCGTTACAGGCATCAGTGTATTGATAGGGTGAGATGATAAAAAAAGACCTGCCAATGTAATTAGTCAACTATCTGCTCAGCATTTGAACCCTTTTCTTACAGCTTATTTGTCCACAGTGTCATTTCTGTGAAGGGTCATTTATTATTCTGAGCTGATTATGAATTAGAAATAAAATACAATCATCGCATTTACGGCATGTAATCACAAAGAATAACAGCGTGTTTCTCTCATAGCGGACACAGTTCCTGTACAGATGAATGATTGTGAGATTAGTACTTTTTAAAACTTTGATGAAAAATCTCGCATGGAAATTAAAGATTGAACTTGAAGCTCATAGTGATTGCTGTGTTTCCCTGTAGGATTTGTACTGGTGCATGATTTATTCTAAAATGAATGAGGTGCAGTGATTTCATTGTGACACTGGGGGGCAATGGTGAGCACGTGTACATACATGAAGGATCCAAAGAAGCGCAGGCGAATATCAGCGAGGCCGCTCAGGGTTTTCCATGAATTTATTTATTTGTTGTAGTCTAGCACTTTAGAAGAAACTCAGTGGAATGTTTTCTTGCTCAAACTGTGGAAAGAAACCTGTAAATGATAAGAAACCTCTGGACATTCTTTCAGGTGCTGCATAAAGTCAGTGGTGCTCTAGGAGGCCTTTGAGACAGATTTTAAGTTTGAACTGAACAAAAGCTGTTATATTCCTATCCCGCTCTTTATTTTATAAACCAGTCCTAGAACTTTGGTTCTGTGGTTTACACACTGCGACGACATTGGAGGGGGCACTTTTATTTTGATAAAACACATCGGTCAGTCAGCGGTCTGTGTTGCTGTTCCAGCAGCAGAGCGCTTTGAGTTTTCTAATAGTCTCTAAATGACACGCTGCTCTTGGTTCAGCATTATAAATAGCCTCATCCAGAGCGTCTCTATCGCTTACGGCCATACCACCCTGAGAACGCCCGATCTCGTCTGATCTCGGAAGCTAAGCAGGGTCGGGCCTGGTTAGTACTTGGATGGGAGACCGCCTGGGAATACCAGGTGCTGTAAGCTTTTTCACACTGAAGCACACGCTTTCCAGTTTTTTTTCTTCTTTTACTCTTATTTTCTTTCATTTCTTTTGTTTTTTTTTGTTTTTTTGTTTTTTTTTCTTTCCGTTACAGGCATCAGTGTATTGATAGGGTGAGATGATAAAAAAAGACCTGCCAATGTAATTAGTCAACTATCTGCTCAGCATTTGAACCCTTTTCTTACAGCTTATTTGTCCACAGTGTCATTTCTGTGAAGGGTCATTTATTATTCTGAGCTGATTATGAATTAGAAATAAAATACAATCATCGCATTTACGGCATGTAATCACAAAGAATAACAGCGTGTTTCTCTCATAGCGGACACAGTTCCTGTACAGATGAATGATTGTGAGATTAGTACTTTTTAAAACTTTGATGAAAAATCTCGCATGGAAATTAAAGATTGAACTTGAAGCTCATAGTGATTGCTGTGTTTCCCTGTAGGATTTGTACTGGTGCATGATTTATTCTAAAATGAATGAGGTGCAGTGATTTCATTGTGACACTGGGGGGCAATGGTGAGCACGTGTACATACATGAAGGATCCAAAGAAGCGCAGGCGAATATCAGCGAGGCCGCTCAGGGTTTTCCATGAATTTATTTATTTGTTGTAGTCTAGCACTTTAGAAGAAACTCAGTGGAATGTTTTCTTGCTCAAACTGTGGAAAGAAACCTGTAAATGATAAGAAACCTCTGGACATTCTTTCAGGTGCTGCATAAAGTCAGTGGTGCTCTAGGAGGCCTTTGAGACAGATTTTAAGTTTGAACTGAACAAAAGCTGTTATATTCCTATCCCGCTCTTTATTTTATAAACCAGTCCTAGAACTTTGGTTCTGTGGTTTACACACTGCGACGACATTGGAGGGGGCACTTTTATTTTGATAAAACACATCGGTCAGTCAGCGGTCTGTGTTGCTGTTCCAGCAGCAGAGCGCTTTGAGTTTTCTAATAGTCTCTAAATGACACGCTGCTCTTGGTTCAGCATTATAAATAGCCTCATCCAGAGCGTCTCTATCGCTTACGGCCATACCACCCTGAGAACGCCCGATCTCGTCTGATCTCGGAAGCTAAGCAGGGTCGG